ACACATTAGGCAGGCCAACCATTGTGGTCAGGGGCACAATGACACACATCATGCAGGTCACCCATTGTAGTCAGGGGCACGATGGCGCACTTTAGGCAGGTCACCCATTGTGGTCAGGGGTAAGATGGCGCACATCAGGCAGGTCACCTATTGTAGTAATGGGCACGATGGCGCTCATTAGGCAGGTCACCCATTGTGGTCAGGGGTAAGATGGCGCACATCATGCAGGTCACCCATTGTGGTCAGGGGCACGCTGGCGCACATTAGGCAGGTCACCCATTGTAGTCAGGGGCACGATGGCGCACATCATGCAGGTCACTCATTGCAGTCGGGGGTAAGATGACGCACATTAGGCAGGCCAACCATTGTGGTCAGGGGTAAGATGGCGCACATCATGCAGGTCACCTATTGTGGTTAGGGGCACGCTGGCGCACATTAGGCTGGCCAACCATTGTGGCCAGGGGCACGATGGCGCACATCATGCAGGTCACCCATTGTAGTCAGGGGCACGATGGCGCACATCATGCAGGTCACCCATTGTAGTCAGGGGCACGATGGCGCACATCATGCAGGTCACCCAATGTAGTCGGGCACGATGGCACACTTCAGGCAGGCCAACCATTGTGGTCAGGGGCACGATGGCGCACATCATGCAGGTCACCCATTGGAGTCAGGGTCACGATGGCGCACATTAGGCAGATCACCCATTTTAGTCAGGGGCACGATAACACATCATGCAGGTCACCCATTGTGGTCAGGGACACGATGGCGCACATCAGGAAGGTCACCGATTGTAGTCAGGGGCACGATGGCGCACATCACGCAGGCCACCGATTGTAGTCGGGGGTGATGGGTTCACACAGCGTTGGCTACATTAAAGCTTTTTTTAAAGTTTTGTTTGCAGATAAGGGCCACGACATACACGCAGTCCCTATATCCCCACGTTAATAGGGGGTGGTGGGATATTTTCAATCGTTTGAAACAGAGTGAGTGAGTGAGTGAGTTTGGTTTAACGCCGCTTTTAACAGTATTCCAGTTATATCACGGCGTGTCAGCTTAATGTGGGAGGAAAGCCCGAAGTGATGCAGGTCTCAGACGTTTACCACTTCGGTGAAACCCACGAGCACGGGTATGGTGCTGACAAAGCTTGAAACATAATCGGGGCGAACCGGGATTCGAACCCACAATGATAGGTTTCTGGCGAATCGCGGCGCCTTAGACGACTGGGCCACCCGTGCCCCCTTTTGAAACAGAAGACGATATGATACAGTATAAAAAAGATATGACAGCGGTAGAAACTAACAATTTTAGTCCACTAGTCCTTATAATTATAACATATAGCAAAACACTTGAAAATGGCAAATTTCTACTGGTCCTTATGATACCTTAACTATAGACAACAGGACTAGTGCCAATTTCTAACGCTGTATGATAGATGAGAAAGTGGATAGGAGAGGGGGAATTAGATATGGAAGATAGTGGTATTTTTATGCTTATAAATATCAAGCAATGTAAGACTATTTGTTTTGAAATGATGTTATCGATGCATGAATTTTCAATGTTATAATTTTGTTTTATCATTATCTGCAGCTTCCTCATATAAGCATACATATATGTAATGCTTTATAATTATGAATAAAGGATTAAGCAGAAAGCTCTGGTCATGGTATCCATGTCTAACTTTATGGCAATCATAGAAGTAACATTAAAGTCGGTGGATATTCCTATTTTGTTTGTTTGTTTGTTGTTTAACGTCTCACTCTGCAATATTCCAGCTATATGACGGCAGTCTGTCAATAATCGAGTCTGGACCAGACAATCAAGTGATTGACATCATGATCATCGATACGCGCAATTGGGATACGATGACATGCATCAACCAAGTCAGCGAGCCTGACCGCCCGATCCCGTTAGTCGCCTCTTGCGGCAAGCATGGGTTGCTGAAGACCAATTCTACCCCGGATCTTCACGTGTATCCATGTTGTATTAAAACAATTGTGATGTAATAATTTATAATGAAAGTTTCTAGTTTTATTGTCAATGCTGCATTGATTGATACACTTGAAACATATGGGGAGGTGTTCTTTTGATACCGGTGCTCCCAATTTAGATTCCCATTTCGTGGCTGATTTGTTTAATGCTTCAGTCGTCTTATCACACACAATTTGAAATATAAACTAGCTGTCTTTCAACCTTAAAAGTCGTGCAATAACATCACTATTTGTCGATTCGTTATTGATTGAAACAAAAAACAACATTTTTAAGTAAGTTCATAAATTCTTTTGCTTGTGCTTTTATTAATTTAAAATGTAATAAGTATGTCCCAGTAAGAATAAAACGTTCTTTTAATACGTTAAATCCATGTAAATGACCTGATTCGGAGAATAGGAGCATAAAATAAAACTGAGGATTGGAAGTTTCAGGAATTCGTCTGTTTATGATTTGGTCATTTGCTATGTAGCTTAGTCTGTAATCATGTTGCCAGAATTTATTTTGCAAATCTTCACTTATGTACTGCAGTATTTTCTTTATAAGACAGAAGATTTCCATAAGGACGTAGAATTGCGTTAGCTTATATCGTCAGCTCAATCGAGCAGCTGTTTTCTATCATTTTGGAATGTATTTGAATTAGTCTACAATGTCATATTAAAACATAACGGCTCGTGGTATAAAACCTGACGTGGGACGCATAAAAACCCATGTACCCCTCGTGATCTTGCTACAACGAATTTATCATACCGACATGTTTTAATACCAAATTGTAAAAATAATTCAAACAAATTCTAAATTAATAGAAAACAGCTGTTCGATTGAGCTGAGGTTGGCTTACGCTGTGTCACGTGAAATCCATTTGCTCGTAAAAAGCCTTCGTCTCTTTGCTTCGAAGCGGGATATAAGGGATTTATTCTGCCTCTCAGAAATCCACAGCCTGATTTGCTTGTGGCGGGGTATAAGAGATTTATGGGACGCATAAAACCCCATGTACCCCGAGTGATCCTGCTACAACGAATTTATCTTACCGACATGTTTTAATGTGACATTATCAAATGTTTCATATAAATTCCAAATTGATAAGAAACAGCTGCTCGATTGAGCTGAGGTTAGCTTGTGCTCTGTCACTCAATATCCACTGGCTCGGTAAAAAGCGTGCAGCTCTTTGTTTTGAAGCGGTGTATAAACCATTTATTTTGTCTCTCAGAAGTGCAAGTGAAACCTGAAGTGCTCGTGGCGAGGTAAAAGAGATTTATTCCCCTGCTGAGAAATGTATTACCCTCCAAGGCGGGTTACACAGTATTTTATCAAGGTCACATGGACCAATCAGATCTCATCATTCTGACTTTGAGGTATGATAAATGTAATTATACCCTTCCTTTGAACATTTGAAAGGGTTTCATTTCATAAGCGTATTGTATGGATCGCCATTAAAAAATATGCCAATATCTTTCCACATTTTTTTTTTATGAAACTCTACAGAGACGCCATCTGATCCTGGATATTTCCTATTTTTCATATGTTTTAATGCCTGAGAACATTCTGCAAAATAAATTTTACATTCACATGTTTGCATTTTATCGTCTGATAGTTTTGTGTCAATATTTACAAACGTATCTAGTTCTTCCCAATTTTCATGGTGGTTCCTTTTAAACAATTAATTATATTTCTTTCCTTTCAATTAATTTTGTATTTGTTTTATCAATTATCTCACACATATTTTATTTACAAAATTTCTTTTTTCAAGACTTTAAAAATACTCTGTATTCTTTTCTCCGTCCTGATACCACTTTGCCTTGCTTCTGAATATAATACTCTTTTTTTTCAAGATCATTTACATCTCTTTTCAGTTCTTTCTTTTTCGTTCTTTTGTTGTTTTAATTGAGTATGGCATAGTTTCGCTTCTTATTTTCATTCTTAAAAGCTCAAAAAGAAGTAGGTTATTAATTGAGAACTCTCTAATGGCTAACTCGTTCCTGTCACTGGATACACTAAATTCATATATAGTATCATAAATAGTAGTTTTTACAAGTGTAATGTAGTGAGGTGAGGTGAAATTTTGTTTAAGGTCTCGTCAAAGATTATTGCACTTATATAGACGTGTGTGTGTGTGGCTGCTTGTACTCCTCCGGACTGATGCTGATTTAAAGTGCTAGCTCAATTATATATACCATGCTGCAGTTTAACATGAATACCCTACTTAGACACAGTATACTGACTCCGAGCCAACCCAATCCTTGTTTTAGCCCCTTAATGCCCAGCGCCAGACGGGGTAACAACAAGTACCATGTTTTAACGTCTTTTGGTATGACGCGACCGAGGTTCGAACCCCAGACCTTCCGCTCACTGAGCAGACGCACTACCACTAGACCACGGAGGCGGTCTCAAGTGTAATGTAATGTGTAGCATGTAATAGTGATGTGTTAAATTTCCGGTAGACAGGATCTCTTTCAATTGGTTGTAGTGACAATTCGATAGGTAGTTAGACAGAGTGACAGACAGACAGACAGACTGACTGACTGACTGACTGACTGACTGACTGACTGACTGACTGACTGACTGACTGACTGACTGACTGACAGACAGACAGACAGACAGACACATACATACATGTATATTGAGATTTATCAGGGTGTAATATCCTCCATGGGTCAACTAACTCTAAGTTTTCTTTCACATTTAGTATTGCCTTAAATGCTAATTGGTTATTTCTTTATTTATAGTTGTATCTTTTAGAATCTTCAACTACATTCCAATCACCAGCTGATATTAAAATATCTCGTAATTGCATTAAATGTGTTTCTAAAGTCTTGAAGAAATCAGGGGTATCAGTGTTTGGTCCATAAATATTTGTAATTGAGAAACAGATTTTTTTCAGTAGTAATATCTAACATGCTTTTACTCGTTCTGTGCGCAAAATAACGGTAACCCCATTTGGCTACCCATTCTTGTCAATTGTGTTTTGTACTGTGTGTTTCTTGAAGAAATATAATTAATGACTTTCTTGATAGAAGGAAATTGAATATATCTTTTCGTTTATTGTTATAGTCATATAAATCTCACATTCATATGTATATATGTGGCACATCTCATTTGTAGAGTATTACAAACCCTAGGATTGAAACATTTTCAGAAGGTACTATTTTCAGTAGCAGCAGCAATTTCTGTTTTGATTCTTTATCACCATGCCACAACAGATCCACATATACAAAGGGTGGATGAAACTATTCAGACCCTAACTTCAGAGGATGTTAGTATACCCCAGATGATGCCTGTTCAGTGATTTGTCGTGACAATAAAGAGTCAGTGAATCAGAGCGCTTCCACTACTTTTCTTTATGAAGCTCTATAATCAAGAAGCACCTCACATCATTAATGGACATGTAATGAGTGGTTACCATGGTCTTTCTTTGCTGATCAGTGCGGAATGTGTTTTAATCCAGAAAGTTTCTATTGTTTATTTCAGCTTTAATCACTCTCAGCTATATTCCAGCTATATGCCAGCGGCCTGTAAATAATCAAGTCTGGACCAGATAATACAGTGACTGATATTATGAGCAACAATCTATGCCATTTGGGGTACAATGACACGCAATCAACCAAGCCACTGAGTCCCACGATCCACTTAATACCCTCTCATGACCAGCATAAGCTACTGGGGACCTTTCCTGAAAAGCTGGATGTGATTCTTAGTCCACACTGATACACAGCCAATGACGTCAAAGGAGGCAAGTGGCTTTGAATGGGTTTCTTTTCACAATGGATACATATGTGTATGTCTGTAAGTCAGCAATATTCCAGCTATATCATGCCACCCTGAAAATAATCAAGTTTGTGCCAGAAAAACAAGTGCTTGATATCATCAGTGTGCCAAGCTGTTGGTAAAAGGTGACATCCCCTCAATCCAGTCGCCAAGTCTGACCACACATTGTGAGGTAATTGCATCTCACGGTGGACAAAAGAGCACTGGGGACCTAGTCTAACTGGGGTACCCACCGGGTCTGCTGAAATTGGGTACTTAGTGACTGCAAACTCTCAATACTATCCACACTGGACCAGACAAACCAGTTGATGGCATGAGCAATGATTAATTCTCAAAACTGCTAAAAACAGCTGTGCATCCTTTATGTATGGTACAGAGACGAGCAGAAACTACCATAAACCAAACATTCTATCCAAAGTCCTATACAATAACACATACATCCAATAGTATCCAAATGGCCTCAAGCCATCACTAGATGACTTCAAAGTCTGGTGAGCTGGGTGCCTCAGCTTGAATTGCTGGTGAGTTGAAATTACTGGTCCCTGAACTATAAAGGTCAATGTGACGCTCTTTCTCTGGCTTCTCACTCTTCTCCTTATCTTTTCCTTCCTTCTTGTCCGGTCTGTCATGCTTGTGCTTATGCTTATGTTTGTGCTTGTGCTTGTGCTTGTTCTTCTTCTTCTTTGCCTTGTGATGCTTGCTACTTGAGCCCTCTCCTTCTGTGGGAGGTTTGGTGGTGAGATCCAGGGCATGGGAGCCGGGCGTGGCTATGGGAGGCAAAGGTTTGGATGGGCCTGATGGCGTTGAGGGGACATCTGTAGACAGGTTCAATAAAGTAAATTAGTAATGAAATATCACTACTGGTATAAATCTACATCTGCAGACAGGACAATACCCTGCTCCAAACTCTTGCACAGTCAATGAAAAATGGCATCCCTCCATCATCCTTTGAATATACATCATTTCACATAGGTAAAAATTGGTATCTGATGTGATGTGGCAGTACAGAGATAGGTATATTTAAGAATTGACTTTTGCCTTATGTGAGTTCATTGGAGTATGAACCTTCATAGAGTGAGGGCCAAACTGCATGGTCGTAAGCTCTGACGTTCATACAATGTTTGGCCCTCACTCTATGAAGGTTCATACTCCTGTGAACTCACACAAAGTGAAAGTCAGTTCTTTTAATTATCTATATCACTATTTTATACCTTGGGGGGTACCACTAAATCTAATACGTGTGACTTGCCATACAACAACCAGTTGTATTGCAGAATAAAATAGTTTCCCCAAAAGAGAGGTGACTGTAGACTGTAACTGTCAGTCTGGACACGGATGGAGTTGATACTACGAAAGTGGATGTGCATTTCTACGTTTTGTTCACTTGGATGGGTCCTGGCTAGGATATTCGTGAACGATCATGCAGTCAAACTCTCTGGCATTTCTCAATGTATTCCAAATTCAAGATTAAAAGGTAAAAATGATCAGAAACAATGCTTTTGTATGTATTCCTGCAAGGTAATTCACAGGGGTTATCCCAGGAAAGTCAGTGTTTACGTCATTTTAAGAATACAGTCTCATGAAAAACATATTAATGTCAAATTGTGTTGTTCATACGCTATGAACTTCAGTTTTATGGTTATGTGACTAGCCTCTTATCCATTGGATAAAAAGTATATCCTGTAAACTTCAAATTAAAAAATCATACATTTTCAAATGTGCCACAATGTACCAATATAGATGTCTAGGTTTGCCCATTGCAATTTAAGTGTGGCAGTGAGTATAATACTTTTGATCAAACTTTGATTCCAATGAATGTAACTTTACCACTGAGTTAGAAAGTTTGCTCCCTTCATTTTCAATAAGCTTGAAATATCCTTTTCTAGTTCTGTATCCAAAGGTAAATTTGGTGAATGCAGTAAGTGATTTTTATGATTCCTTAATTAGGCAGTGTATCCTCCACTCTGATAGGAAAATTATCATGGACCTATTCGCCATGACAGCTTCATTTCAAGTGATATCACCATCTTTATTTCCATCGCTTAGTACAGAACGTCTCTCACTTATGTGAGCAAAGTGCCATTCAAAACAGGCTATGGTGGCGAATGGCTGCAGGAGATCTATCATAAAGGAATGGAGGATAATACACTGGATAATCACGGATGATTATCATTATGCTAATGAATTACCTGACAGACTCTGAGGGGCATGAGATGGGGAGCTGGAATCTTCACTGAGTCGGCTGACGCTACTCTCTCTCTTCCTCTCTGGGGGGTGAGGCAGCAGGAGGGGTGGTGGTGGGGGCTGGCCAGAGGTGCTGGGAGACTCCGAATCTGATTTCATCTACAGACAAAACACGCAACCCTGTTACTCTCATTTCATACAGTCTGACAACACAATGGCACACACCATGATGGTGTTGATGTTTCTCACTAGACTGTTTGACAATCAAGTCAACTTTCTTTACTCATTTAGAACTTTGGTATTTAGGATCTGACTCTATCTCCCACTTACCTTAAAATATGAATCACAAAAGGGATTACTCAGAAAAATAATTAAACATGTGTTATTGAGACACACAATACAGATATATAAATAATAATTTGTCAAAGTAAAGTTTTTAATTCAACTATTTTTATATGATCATAAACATTAAAGCTTCATTATAATATCATCCACTGCATTGCTTTGTGTATGAAAAATACATTTGTTTTGTTTATGTTATCGGAATTCTGACAGTGATTTGCTATTGTAAGCTGATTTGTCAAAAACAGCATGGAGGTACAAGATGTAGAACAAGATTTCACTATTCTAAATTCTAATAGACAATAGAAAATAATGAAACAAGAGAAAGTCTACCTCTAGTATCTCCTGACCTCTATCATATAGTTAAAGCAATACTATCAATATTACTGTCACCTGGACACCTTAGAGGAAGCAAAACTACTGTATATAACTGGTGTATTAAATCATAAAATTGTCTCTAATTATCGTAACAGTCATTCTCTAGTCCCAATCATTCTACTACATTGTATCGTTTCATTTAAGATTGTGTCAGAAGTAGAACAAAATATAGTTTGCATCTAATAAATTAAGTTGGAAAAATCATCTGTTATAATCACTTGAGTGCTGCAGACAGCTATATTAGTGTTGTCAGGCCTGTACATAATCACATCCAAACTAGTGGTCGACATTCTACTGTCCTGAAATATTCACATTCCCCAATCTCTTTCAAGTCATAGCTTTGATCCGAATCAATACCTATCTCTCTGATTTGATACCTGTCTCCATCAAGATATGACAAACTCTCAATTATGAACCTTGAACGATCTTTAACAATCAAAATGAAGGATGTATGCATGTTTTAAGCCATCACGATGTCAGCTCTATTAAACTATTCAGCTTCATTCAAACAGGTAGCCTTTAATGGCCTTTTCACTATTTGTTTGGTATAAGAGAAAAAGAACCACTTCTAAATTAAGTTCTTATTTTGTTGACTGAAAGATGCAGATGTTTGTTGTTTAAAACCACATTCAGCAATATTCCATCTATATGACTGCGATCTGTAAATAATTGAGTCTGGACCAGACAATCCAGTGACCGACATCATGAGCATCTACACAACTGGGATATGATGACATGCATCAACCAAGTCAGCAAGCATGAGTTGCAGAAGTTCAACTGTAACCTGGATCTTTATGAAAGATGGTTATTATTTTTCATTCAGACCTGACCATTAATGTTCATATTCTTCTTCATTCAAACCTGACCATTTATATTTGAATTATTTTCCTTTCAGACCTAACCATTTATGTTCGTATTATTCTTCATTCAGACCTGACCATTTACGTTCGTATCTTTATTCTTCATTCAGATCTGACCATTTATGTTCATATTATTCTTCATTCAGATCTGACCATTTATGTTCATATCATTTTTCATTCAGACCTGACCATTTATGTTCATATTATTCTTCATTCAGACCTGACCATTTATGTTCATATTATTTTTCATTCAGACCTGACCATTTATGTTCATATTATTCTCCTTTCAGATTTGTTGTGAGATACAGAAATATTATGCACTGCTCTAAATACTAGATCCACTCATACCAAGAATTTAGAAGCCTCCATGCTGATTGGCTCATTTGTAAGTTTCCCTGTCATGACCTCCCTCGGGAGGTTTGTCATATTTTGACAGAGAGAGGTATCCTATAATAAATGCAAATATAACAATAAAGTGACTCAGGCCATGAAAACACCTTGCAGATGACCTGGATAACGTGTATACATGTCGGCAGCTTGATGCTAAGTACATATATAATCAGCAAGTAGTTAACATGCCACATTCTTTCTATTTCTGACACATATGTCTACATTACAACTTTGACACATTATTGACTCCAAACTGAGGGTCCAGAGTCACATCATTGAGTGATAGAACAAAAGAAATCCATTATTCACATATTTCCTACAAAAGTAAAACATTTGTTCAAGTGAGACAGATTCATTGAAGCAAAATACTATCAAAATCACTTCAATACCCATTTTATGGATGTTTTCTGAAATGAAAAACTATTGCTCACAGAATGAGCTTTTTGTCCAAGTTCTACAATGTTCATCATGCTGAAAAGATTTTTCAGAAAGAATATAGGTACTGTGTATTATTTTCCACAACATATAACACAAAGCTGATGCTGTTTCTACGGTAATGCTACGAGGACATGGAATCTACTGCCCTGAGGGACAGGCTAGAGTGTCAGGGTGTGAAGTTGTCTGAGTGAAGGTTCTATACAAGCACACCTTTGTGCACTAACTCCTGACAATCAAGATTCAGTGGAGCTGAAAAACTAAGTTGATTTTGTGAAAAAAATTGATTTCATACACATTGTAACACATTTCTTTACATAACCTTTTGGCAGTGTTTCAGATAGGATTATTATTCAACACTTTTAACCTGGACATGGATATCAATTATTTTTTTTCAGTAATTCCTGTCGAGTATTATAATTGGTTCTTCATGCTATTGGCTAGTTCAGGTCAATTGTTCTGTGGTTCAAAAGAGGACCAATGCGATGTGATGATACTTCAACACATTGTCACAATACTGATGGATGATGTTATCTACTGTTCAAGAAGACATTTTTCACATTTACTCCGAACAAAAAAAGCTGTCTATAATATAGTATAGCTTACTCCCAACTTGGAGTGACTTACAATATTAATGCATGATTGAGAGATAATTTGTAATTCTGCGTGACAAGTAGGTTGCTCTCTTTGTTACCCAAGATGTTTGTAAATTAAACCACAAATGTACCAAAAGATTCCTTCCCAATGACCATACATATTTGAAGACTGTCTCCCAGGTTTTGAATCCGGGCAAGTGAAAAAAAAATTTACTGTCTGGCCTGATTAGCGGAATGTCCATTCTATCTTGGGCAACAATGGACAATCACTGACACTATTCTTTACGACTATAAATGTCAAGCAAGTGCACCTCATAGTCGCATAATGTCTTTTGAAGCATTCTCCTTGAACTCTACCAACTGGCTTATGCCAAGTCCACACCCATCCTTCCCTCCACCCCACAACCACTCACTAGGCAACCACCACTAAATCAACATAGAATTTCAGCACCATCAACTGTGGGACATGGATCTCTTGGGTACAGTATTCATTCCCAACTTGTAAATGCATCTCAAATGCCTTTCAAAAGGAACAAAATGGAATGACACACTACCAAGATGAGTTTGAGAAAGAATAAACTGGACATAAACAATACAATAACGTTACAATAATTGATACAACATAGACAACAAAGACGTAACTGCCATTAGAAGCACTACAGAAGACTAAATAGGTAATTAGTACAAGGTGAAGGTCATATAACTATCACTGTAAGGTGAAGGTGAGGTCAAATAGCAAAAGGTGAAGGTCATGACACCTAGCACCAAGGTCAGCAAACAGAAAGGTGAAGGCTATATGTAAAGCACACTGTGTAACAACAAGGTAGCAGCAACATGTGGTACAGGGTTATTTGTCAAGCATTCTACATGGCGAAAGTCAAACGTTAAGCTGCTACGCAGGACATGAAATCTAAACATTGTGTACCCCGACAAACTTCATGAACTCAGAAGCAAACGAGCCCCCTGGTGTTGTGGGCACAGGTGGGGGGGAAATAATCGTAGTTGGAGTGGTTGCAAGAAATGTTGTTCCTGCTTCCGTGCTCTTCATTCCGATCTGAACACAAGAAACAAAACATGGTACTCTGCCACACAGTCTACAAGCGCTTCCTGCTCTGGAATGATTTAACTGTCTGTAAATAGGAGGGGTTGGTTAATGGTTATTGTCTGTAGTCATAATATGCATTATGCCAATACATAGCTGAGACAGTCCACTGTTAAGATTAAGTAGATGGGTGCCCTTTTTTTGACGAATTGAGAAATGCTATATCTGTGTTTCATATTAACAATAATTAATATTTTTACATTAATTACAGTCTTATATCTTTAAGTGACATTTTAGAAGTCGTAGTATCAATGAAAACTGATTTTACTTATGGCATGTATGGATGTCAACTTCCTTAGCGCACCAGGTCCCGATTTCACAAAGCGGCCACAGTGCTAAGACAATCGTAACTCCCATAATTTAACATTGATTTACGATAGCAGCCCTAAGATCGCTTTGCGGAACATGACCTGTACAGAAACAGCGCTTTGAAAGAATAAAGAACTTGAAATCCTTTCTCTCCTGTCTTAAAAAATAAAAATACTATAACTAGTGTAAGTCTATGTAAGTAGTTGCAATAGTCCGAGCACTACAGTCGCATTGTGAAAGTGACTATCTGGTGAACATATTACTTACAACTGTTACAGACTACGACTACTATGATACTGACTGTATACAATCATTCCATAATCCAGTACAGAAGGTTAGTCTGACTGAAACCACAGGGTCTGACCTATATCTAGGATTATTACAATAACTATATACACCAGGTACATTAACATACATGTTTGTCATTACAACTGTTTCTATGCTACAGTTTGTGCAAATAACAGGAAATTAATCTGATCACTTGACATGTTTGATATTCTTTATATTTTTAGCTGCTGTCAGCAATATTCCGGCTTTATCACAGCCGACTGTTAATAACCAAGCCCAGAGTGAGTGAGTGAGTGAGTGAGTGAGTGAGTATGGTTTTACGCCGCTTTTAGCAATATTCCAGCAATATCACAGCGGGGGACACCAGAAATAGGCTTCACACATTGTACCCATGTCGGGAATCGAACCCAGGTCTTCGGCATGACGAGCCGATGCTTTAACCACTAGGCTACCCGACCACCCCACCAAGCCCAGAAAGGCATAACAGTGCCAGTGACTGCATCATCCCAGTTCTGCCTCTATGCTTATAAGTCAACCAGTACATTAAGAGTGACCAGTTGGATTTAACGATGATTTGGAAAGTACTTCAGTTATATGACAGCACATCAGCTTGATATGGAAAGTCCAAAGTGATGGAGGTCATAGACGTTAACCACTTGGTGAAATCCACAAGCTATGGCATTGTGCTGACAAACATAGAAACATTATCATGTCAAATCTGATGTTCCGAAGTGACTATCATAGGTTCCTTGATCTACGCAATTCGGATATATGATGACATGCATCAACCAAGTCAGTGAGCCAGACCATCCGATCCCCTTAGTCCCCTCTTACAACAAGCATAATTGCCTGTTATGGCAAGCATGGGTTGCTGAGGACCTATTCTAACCCGGATCTTCACAGGTCTATTCTACTGTGTTCGAGGGAATAATACTTAGGCATCAAGAAAAACACAGTATAGTCTTCTGTATTTCCTACCTTTCCTCATCATACATGGCAAAAGTTGCTTGTAAGGGAAAAACCTATCAATGATATAACATATATTCATTGATATTCCATAGGTTAATTAGATTCTTCAATAAAATCACATAGGCACTTTGACATTAACAATATATAAATTCTGTACTCTGTTGCTTAAATTTTGACAAAATTAGAATTAAAAAAATATTAATCCTCTGTGTATGGCTGTAAGCAAGTTGTAAGGTGGTAATGAAATGCTCCATCGTCTGTGGCAACTGACCCTGTAGATGTTACGTGTCGCAAGAATTTTATACATTTCATTTACATATCTCAAACTTAATATACAAGTTTAATATATTTTGAACATTTGAACACAATATTGTTCCTGTGAAAGAATGATTTTTAGAAGATCCTGAGACATACAGTGTATACCCATCTACATGTTCTACTTGAGTAGAAATTAATTTAATTTTTTTATTAAATTGTCATCAAAATAATTTGTTCTAAACATATGTTTTAAAGGAAAGTATTTACTTCTCATATATTAGCATTCTTGTAACATTTCTACCTCAGGATAGAGGAAGTGTTTCAGTGTTAAGGCAACTTGGTATCAACAGCTAAGTTAGTTACTAGTGTTAAGTCTTGACTACTACACATTCATATTGAGGCAAACATCGGCCATGCATATTCATGCAAACATAGCAACAAGTTAGATTTGTACACTTGACATGTGACTGTGTGTGGCTTGGCATTCATAGTAAGCTAATTGTGGGAGGAAACGTTTCTTGCAATGTGAAATACTCTATGCCAAGATCTGCCAGTCAAAGGGTCAATACACTTTACAAAGCACAAAGTATGATAAGGGAGATTTTGCCCCACAGGATCTGTATAATCTCAGAATTAAGCAAAACTTTGAAAAATTGTTATGACAATTCAGATGTATTCATATGAATGAAAATTTGACTTTTCATTTCCTTACTCATAGGTTTAGAGTTTAGAGATTTTCAGGAAATATTTCTACACGTGCAAGTCTGTGACACACATGGTGATGACAGATGGTGACAGTACAACCATATGGTTACAATAATCATCTCGGATCATGGACACTAATTTTACTGCTGTATTTGATCGTGTCAAAAGTCCTAGATTTGCTTTGTAGCCAAACGCCGCACTCAGCAATATTCCAGCTGTATGACGGCGGATTGTAAATAATACAGTCTGAACCAGACTATACAGAGACTGATATTATGAGCAACAATCCACACTGTCGGGGTACCAAACCTGACCACCCAATCCATTTATTTGCCTCAAGTCAAGCATAGGGGACCTATTCTAACCTGGAATCTCATCTCCACAGCGACCTAGACTTGCAAGTGTAGGGAAGAAAAAGGCTGGACCTCAATTATAGGACCATGTTCATGCCAATGTTGCAAAGTCTTCGTTAACTAAAAAATCTGACTTTCAAATTTGAAGGGCCCTTATCATACTCTGTTCTTAATAATTTAACGATGGATATGTACATAAATCATAGAACGACCTGAGCACTGATCAATAACCATGCAGACATGATCATGCCAAGGTGAAATGCATACATGCAACTTCAAAGTTCAAAAAAGTTGTCACAGATCTTTCAACTAAAGTTCATTATTATCGCTAACTTCTAATTCAAACATACTAATACAGCATATTATGAAGAAACAGTGACATGGTGATGAAAGAAGGTCTGTTCAAGGGGGGATAATGTACTGCTGTGGCTGATTCAGCCTCATACATGGCTGTCTGAGAGAGTGAGGGAGGGAGTGAATAATGCATTGCTAGTAGCAATACACAGCTGCAAACAGGTGAAGTGAAATGGGGTTTAATGACTCTTAAAAGATTATTTCCCTCATAGAGAAGTGTAGATGCACCAGTGGTTGGGCTGCTTGTATAAGTCTTGGCTTATACCAGTCTTATAGTGACAGCCCACAGAAATACCATGCTGCAGTTAAAATGGATACCCCATTAAGAAACATTACATAAGTATATGCCTCTGAGCCAACTAGTACCTGTGTTATCACCATAATGCCGAGTGCCAGGCAGGGTAACAACAAGTATCACCTTTTAACGTCACTTGGTATGATGTGGCCAGGGGATCAAACCACCAACACAGTTGAACCAATCAACTCAACTCGAAAGGGTGCACGAAATCACGCACGCACGAATATGGTGTTAGCGTTGGGCGTCTCAACATGCGTGATTCCCGTGCACCCTTTCGAGTCGAGTTGATTGGTTCAACTGTGTCATATGGCCCTGTGACGCAGGGGTAGCATTATGCAGATGGCTGTTTCAATGAATGCTCGTTCTACCGGTGACAAGCAGGTCTGGTTGTTGATGAAATATAGTGATAGCTAAATAGACAGATTTTTTATTCATGCATCGATTGTCTTTAAATGTCATATCCAGTTATGTATGACTGTTTAATAATCTCATACCAACTTTGACAGGAGTAGGTCTGATAGTTTTTCAGATATTGTAGTCAACGTCTGTACCTTAAATTACCTTCCACACTATAAATGATAATTTTCATCAAAACTTCCATGAAATATCATTTTTCACAAGGAATTATTCCCTAAGATTTTAGAAAAAGATATTTCTGAGATGTTATGACATGATTAACAAATTCATGGAAGTCCTCGTATTTCTGCAAAACAAATTATAGTTTTAAACAGCATTTATTAACTCCTAAAGTCAATAGTACATGCACAATTGTAGCACCTACTTTCCAACCAGTCTTACCTTAATCTTGAGCTTGAATCCGCTCCCTTCATCTGATTGCACTGGTTCTGGTTTTACATTCAAGACACTGGATTCTAAATTTGGTCGAAGGTCTGTCAAAGGTGATGACGCCTTCCTCTTGGTGCCAGTTTCTCGGTGATCATGTGACTCCCCTCGTACAAAGAATGGCTTCTTCTCTGGCGTGACATCGACATCGATCATCTCGATGTCCTCAGACTGTGTTCCCTTAGTGGGCGTGGTCTCCTCAGCTTGTGACATCTCATCAAACAGCTCATCCTGGGTGGATGAAATGCACTGCTATAACACTGAGTGTGAAGGATAAAGAGTTGAGTATAACACTGCTTTTATAGTATCTTTAATCAGATAACTGTGTGCTGGCTTAATGTGGCAGGAATGCCTAATGTGATGCAAGTGGTAGACATCTAACCAATTTGATGAAACCCTTTCGAGTGGTGCTGATAGATCAAAGCTCAAGGGATCAGGGATTCAAACTCATGACCAGCAGATTCAGGCACAACTAAGGGACAGAACCCTGACAAGAAATAATGTCTCCATTTCCCCATTTCCAGTTTGTTGTGTAATTTGTAATATTCCAGCTACAAAACGGCAACCTGCAAATAATCACCTCTGTCTTCTCTAGAACAAGGGTTATAACACTACCATGTCACTCACCTCCCTCTTCTCTGGAACAAGGGTTTCAACACTACCATGTCACTCACCTCTGTCTTCTCTGGATCAAGGGTTTCAACACTACCATGTCACTCACCTCCCTCTTCTCTGGAACAAGGGTTTCAACACTACCATGTCACTCACCTCTGTCTTCTCTGGAACAATGGTCGGGTTCAGCATGGTAGTTTTCTCCTTCAGGTTGAGCACAAGAACACTCTGCAAATTGGAATGGGGCCTTTATACAATATACAGGCAAAACTATTTACATGGGTGTCATCAAGGACAACTTGGCAGCACTGGACTACTGTAAGACATTTATGTTATTATGTACACCATAGTGTATTACACATATGAGAGTGATTTGGGATTTAATGTCTTATTGAACATTATTTCAGAAAAATCACAGCATGTCAATTTATACATATTTGCTACATCAGGAAACCCACAAACTACATGGAACAGCTTGAGTTGGGAAAGCCCAGATTGATGTAGCTCGTCGACATTTACCACTTTGATAACACATGAACGCAAGTAAGGAGCAACAAACCACAAAACATTTACTCATAGGTTCAGACACGCAACTCTGCTGTGCATTAGAGAACTGGGCCTCCCATGACCCAATGCATTATAGTAACTAAGAAGAGTAGATGACACTAAATTGAACGCATAAGTGTTACGGTGTAATCTACAGGCAATACTGACCTCCGGTATAGCCAGACAGGTGGGTCGTGTTCGGCCATACAGAACATAGTACAGGTCAGCAATACCACATCTCAGGCGGCTGTCGTGGGACAGCGAGGAGCTGCGGAGACAAGAATCAGTAGTACCAGGTATTTGTCAGGGTGTAAAATACATTCTTGGGCCAGAAGCTGATTGTGAAAGTGAAACTCCATCGCTTTCTACATCACTTCAGTGTAAGCAGAAGAATAACATGAATAATTTAAAAAAAACACTACAGCTGGACAACAGTTCATTGTTTCACAGGTGAAATATTTGTGACCTGAAATGTTAAATAGAGATGATATACTAATTCCTCAGATTTAAGGGGTCTGAATGTAAAGAAATAGCAAAAATTTGTTCATTTTGGCAATCTCAAGGGCAGACAAAGACATGTGTGCAGCCCAATATGTGGACACTGCCCCCGACACTTCAGACCCCCAACACTTCAGACCCTCAACGGGTATGTTAAGCCACAGTCAACCATATTCCAGCTACACAATGGCGGCCATAAAATATCTCCTGTTTGACAGCACAAGCAACCATCAAAATTGTTAACCAGATCACAAACTTACCCACATAATCCTCATATTGCTAAACACTGATAGCTTTATAGGAGTTTAGTCTATCATAAAACCATAATTTCATCCTTGCGGCCAATTCTGACTCCAGAAGTCCAGAAGCTCCTATTGCTCCATGAGGTGTACTCACTTCATCATCTTCCAGAGTCTTTCCACCAGGCTGTCCGTATTGAGAGGGTTGTTATCGGACTTTCTAAAGGGAGGGTTTTCTATAAGTAGTTGAAGAGCACCATGTCTGAAACATTGTCACACAACCATGAGAATCTGTTTATATACTGTTATCATGTTCTTAAATTGTGATTCAAAGATTAATTTGAAAACAAAACAAAACATATAGTCCTTATCATCAAAACAATAAGCTGTTTGTTTGTTGTTTAATGCATTCAACAATATTCCAGCTGTATGACGATGGTTTGTAAATAAACAAATCTGGACCAAACAGTCCAGTAATTGACTTCATCTGCATCAATTCACACAATTGAGATACAATGACATGCAGTACACCAAGTCACAGAGCCTGACCGCCTGCCCCATTCAGCTGCCTCTTACGACAAGCATAAGTTGCTGGAACCTTTATGTAAGTATATGTAATATCACAATGTTAAATATTGCCAGAAATCATATTCTGATCCTGATTACTGTCAGTTAGTCATGGCAATCTAACTTCCACTGAGTGAGTGACTGTTTTACACCACAGTCAGCAATATTCCACCTGTATTACGACAGCCTGTACACAATGAAGTCTGGACCAGGCAGACCAGTGGTTGACAGTATGAGCAACAGCCTTTGTCAGATCTACTAATGCAAAAATAAAATCCAAAATAGTCAGCTCTTTAGACAAACCTGCTATTCTTTTGACCTATCCAGTCCTGGATTCCCCACATGATTAATATCAATTGGAATATGTCAATGTGCCCTACAAAATCCCATCAGTCACACATTTTACCTGACTAGGATGTCTGGATCTGTCTCGATCATATTCAACAACCATTTCAGGGTTTCACTGTTGCGGTCAACTGAAAATACAAATGTTTTAACTTGTGAGTATCATGAACAGTTATTATCCGAGGGCATGCATTGATACTTTTAGCACTTGAGGCCAAACATCTTTGTTAGCTTAGCAGATTTCCTTAACTAATTTCAAACATTTGCAGGTTGTCAAGACAGATTGAGGTTGATTGAAAGAAAACGTTTTATCAAAAGTTACTGACCAAAGAAATTCAGAATGTTATTTGTCAGAAATAACTTCTACAAGTAAAGATCAGTTCTACAAATCCCAAATATTATCAATTATATCCAAGTGAATTTCATTTAATTCAAATAATGTCAGACAAACACTGCATGCATCATTTTGTGCTTCACTTCTGAAAAAATGTAGGGAACAATTACCGACAAAAGGTTAAAAATTTGCGGTAGTGTAGCAATATTCCAACTATATCATGGTTGGCAGCAACAAAACAGGGCTCAACACATACAGAGAAAAAGAACTCATGTTTAGTTACATTTGACCCACAAAACTACCCTACAACTCCTAAAGGGTCTACTGTTATTGAAGTGTATAGCACAAATTCCTTGTTGAAAGTAAGCGATGGTAGTACCTTTAATGAAATCAACAATAGCATTGAATGCAGCTAATCTGACGTCGCGGAATACTCCATACGCAGCATAGCTCTTAAAGAGCTCCGGGTCGTTGGGTAAGTGGCCAAACTTCTGAAGGCTGCGTATGGCTCGTATACAACTGAAATAAATAAGACAACACCTTGTTTAATCTAAGAGGAAGAAACATGTTCTCACATGAGATCTAAAAGTAAGGTCATCAAAAATAAATTAATATTTTTTCATCCAATTTACCTTCAATGCAAGGTTGTTTTTTTAAACAAATTGGTCAAGGCATCTCTGTACAGTAACTGTTGAGGAATGTGATTCAGATGAGGACCCCATGAAGAGCCGGATTAGAATTGCTCTTCAGTAACCCATGCTTGTCATAAGAGGTGTGGTCAGGCTCGCTGACTTGGTTTGATGCATGTCATCATATCCCTATTGTGTGGATCAATGCTCATGATGTCAATTAGTGGATTGTCTGGTCCAGACTCAATTATTTACAGACCGCCGCCATAAGCTTGAATATTGCTGAGTGTGGAGTTAAACAACAGACAAACAAACAATCAGATGAGGAAGATGTTTGGTAGGAGTACGTATTATGGTGTATTTCATAAAGTAAAGCAAGACAGGATAACATGCTTTTCTTTGTTTATTGGAAGTTAGGGACAACAATATGATGTGTGAGTGAGTGAGTGAGTGAGTGAGTGAGTGAGTGAGTGAGTGAGTGAGTGAGTGAGTGAGTGAGTGAGTGAGTGAGTGAGTGAGTGAGTGAGTGAGAGTGAGTGAGTGAGTGAGTGAGTGAGTGAGTGAGTGAGTGAGTGAGTGAGTGAGTGAGTGAGAGTTGGGTTAAACATTGCTTTCAACAGTATTCCAGTTTTATCAACGCATGTCAGCTTTATATGAAGGAAAGCCTGAAGTGATGCAGGTTACCACTTTGGTGAAACCCATGAGAACAGCTATGATGCTGACAAACCTAGAAACATAATCAGGGGCGAACCAGGTTTCGAACCCACAATCACAGGTTTCTGGTGTGCCCAAGTGACGCAACTCTCCTCAGCGACTTGCAGCACCTCAGACAACTGGGCCACCCATGTTCCCTAATATGACGTGATGCATGGTGTTCGGTTGAAGGTGGGTGGGGATAAAAGATGGCCTATTCAGTGATACAGTGTTTTCATGACTGGGATACTTATATATTTCCTTTATACTGTAATGAGGCAGGAGATTGTTAGTGGCAGCAAACTGATTGACGCTCTCATAAAAGATATCTAGAGTGAACTCCCTTGGGTTTTGTGGTTGCAAGCTCCTTTCCACCTTTGTAACACCTGCAGTATAGAGAGTTGCGCGAACGGGCTATCTCTGGGAGGAGCTTGTTTACAGTATTTTGTTCAATTCTGACAGACTACCTTATTCGACAAGTTTCATGCCTATATAAGTGCAAGAGAAGGTGTGATTTGAGGCCTTCTATGACTTGACCTGACTTGCGTCTGATCTACTTGCCCAGTGTGGATGGGTGAGGTGAGGTGAAATTGGGTTTAACGTCGTGTCCAAGATTATTGCACTTATATAGCAACGTGCATGCACGTGTGTGTGTGTGGCTGCTTGTACTAGTCCAGACTGATGCTGATTTATAGTGCTAGCTCAATGAGATACCATGCCGCAGATTAACATGAATACCCCACTCAGACCAATATACTGACTCCGAGTCAACCAGTCCTTGTTTTAGCCCCTTAATGCCAAGCGCCAGACAGGGTAACAAAAAGTACCATCTTTTAACGTCTTTTGGTATGATGCAGCTGGGGATCGAACCACGGACCTTCCGCTCACCAGGCGGATGCTCTACTACAAGACCACGGAGGCGGTCCAGTGTGGATGGGATACCTATCTGAAAACACCAACCTTTCTACCAGCTTTCAACTCTGTTTCCGGGATTCAAGAATGAAGCACATGTCTGATTCAAGACATTCAGCTGTGATAAATTCCGAACAATTGTGCACCAACACATGAAATAGGGAATATTATTTATTGCTGACGCCACATTTTCTACCCTTGGTATTGCCTTGTGGGATGGTAAACCTAATCCTGTGTGTTTCAATATAATTTGTTAAATATTCATTGATCTTGTGTGGTTACTTACTGATTTCACATTTTAGTTCTGTTCGAACAGATTTCTGAATAAACCTTCGTGTTTCAACTTGGGATTCAACTCAAACCACTACCTCAGACAAAAACTTGGAAAAATATTTGTCTTCAATCAAAATCCCATATCCAGTTTAAACAGTGAGTGATTGTTTTGTTCTGCTGTGATAGTGCAGCCCAAACATGTCAATATGTAAATCACAGCTGGATCCTGGATCCACCATCCCTTCTAAGACCCTATGTCAGTTGGAGATATGTTATATGGAGATAGAAGATATGAAAGCCAAGAAGGTTGCCAGCTGACTCACTGTAGAAATGATGCACTCATATTATTGAAAGGATGCAGACACAGCAACCACTGGACACCTACACTGAGTCTTATATCAAGCAGGGGGACCTATTCTCCCCACTCCATTCAGATACTTGATCCTCACCTGACTGTAACTGTATGTCTGTAGCAGGGGAGCAGTTTCTCCAGATTCAGACACCTTGTGATCTCTTCAAGAAACTGCTTGGTGTCTGCAGTCAGGCTGTCTGTACTTTTACCAAGTCTGTGTAAAAAGAAAGTGCATATGTATATATATTCAGGAAGCACATCATGAGACACAGTTACAGCTGAGTGGAGCTGTATCTGATAATACAGATGCCAGATCACGTCACCCCTAGGTCAGTCCGCCTACAACTGTGTATTATACAGAACGGCCATAACTGAATGGTAGTTTAGTGCAATATCTTGAAAATGGCCAAGTGTTGGGAATTGATTGTAAAATCATATTTGATAACTGGACCATCCCGATATACCAGTTGACAAAATGAATAAGTTAGCTATTTTTGTTATTTTTCAATGTCAGTATCAATACTAGATCACTACTTACTCTGAGATTACTACTGGGGTGACAGCAGGGGTAATGGTGGCTGACATTGCATCAATGAGAGCAGCTCTGTAGTAGTTGTCTGAATACTGCAAGAAATTATTTATTCTATGTCAGAACTATGCATACAATAAAGAAGTAAATATTACGATCTGGTTTGTCAGCTATCCTTTTCCTAATGGCTCAAGACGATCAATATGTGGGTGTGAGAGTATAAGGACACAATAAGTCACTGAATCAGATTGGCTGAGATTGTCCCGAGTGGCCATCCAAATACATTGATACAGAATATGCAGAATATATTGCAGGAGTACACAAGGACACCATATATAAATGGCTGTCTTTTCAACCTGTACCTTGTTCTTGCTGTTGTCGTTGTACTTGAAGAGCTCCAGGAGGAAGCGCATCACCTCTGGCGGACAGATACAGTGGACAGTCCGCAGGTTGGCCATAGCCATTGGAATGGTCTGCAATACAATCACCAAAGAGGTACTGACCATCACAATACTTCACATGCCTACCTCACATACACTATGTTCCTCAATCACAGCCTGTCAATACATACAGCCACTGTTTCCAGTATATGCTACATAAACATAATGAGATGAGGTTGTGTACAACTCACGGAAGTGAGTATTCAACAGCAGAGACCATATATCGGTATATGGTCTCTGATTCCAGTTATATCGCGGCGTGTCAGCTTGATGTGTGAGGAAAGCAACTCACTAAAGTTAAGGACTTTGCATGATATTGCCAACCCTAACATTGCTTTCTGATGAAACATGTTTAGAGCCAATAACGCAAGGGTATGACTCATGCTGCACACATCGTCAAGCAAGAAACATCGCTCTACACTGCAGTGCGACTACATGTATTCATGGGTGATGGAGAGAATGTAGAGCATACAGACCAAGAGGTATTGACAATGGGTGCTGACTGGATGTGACATGTTTGTAAGAACATTGAATCAGATGAGTGGAAGAAGTTGTCATGACAAAACGATTGCATGACTGTTACTAAGGTAAACTACAGGTAAACAAGGATATAACAAACTCCAATGGATTACTAAAACTGATGTTGTTTGATTATACCAGTGCTGTGAACTATTGTGAAACTGGTGGTGAAGACATCCCCACTAGTTCAGACCATACCTTAAGCAGGAAGTAGTGCTGAAAGTTGCTGAAGTTGTTCTGTCGGATGATGGCCTGGCATGAGTGAGAGCCGAACATCTTCTTGAACATGATCATCATGGCCGGAGGTCCTGTCCATCCAGCTACCATGGAGTTAGCTACCTGTAATGTCAGCCATCCTATATAACCACTGGGGCAAGAGTGAGTGAGTGAGTGAGTGAGTGAGTGAGTGAGTGAGTGAGTGAGTGAGTGAGTGAGTGAGTGAGTGAGTGAGTGAATGAGGGAGCGAGCGAGCGAGTGAGCGAGTGAGTGATCCATGCCATCAAGTAACAATGACTCACAATTATGAAAAAGCACCAAGCATGTCTACATACAAATATTCGTCAAATCTATGGCAAGCACCTGTTAGTTGGGACAAACTGTACCACAGAATCCCACTGGGTCAAAATGCGGGAATGTTTCTATTAAACATTATGGCTTCAATCCCTAAGAAACAAGATCTTGAATACCACACAGCACTCACATTTCATAATAAACATTTTGTGGGCCCCTCAATTCCAGAAAACTTCTACAATTTCAAGTTTGCACTGCTTCAATACGCATTTCAGTGTTCATAAGAACGATACAACCATCATTCCTGAAGCATGCTATAACTGCAGTTCTGTTCAGCAGTTCTCACAAAGAAATGTTACGAGAGGAACCAACCTTTGCTAAACAGCTGCAGGCATCCATCCGCACCTTGTAGAAGCAGTGTTCATTCTCTATGGTGTCCGTCAGCGCCAAGCGAGTCTGTGGAGTAGGGTAGTGCTCCAGGGCCCAGATACTCTGCAAACACACTGTCGTCATACAAGTCGGGAATACCATAGATGTGTAACAGGAAATCTTTAAGAATCAGTGAAATGTCATGGGGCTGATAGTGGGGTCATGTGCGAAGAACTTCAAAGAGGTTCGTCAGAGTGAAGAGTAAACACTTTAATAACGTGGTTGCACAGAAATTGTTTCCAAGCTCTACTCAGTTGACTCCCATAAATATGCAATAAGTACTGTTCTTCAAATCCATCAATATTTGTCAAAAGAATCTTAAAGTGCACCACATGACCACTGCCTCCTTGGGGATTTTGGCTAATCCTAGGTGCCCATTAACCTATGCTTGTTGTACAAGGAAACTACAGGGATCAGGAGGTCAGACTTAGTGACTTGGTCGATTGCATGCTAATATTTGTCCAAGAATCTTAAACAAATTTGTAGCATGCACCACATGCCCACTGAGTCTTTGGGGACTTTGAATGTAATCATACCCCAAATGCTTGGGATATTGCTCATAATATCAACCACTTGTTTGTTTGGTCAAGACTTATTTGCAGGAAAATGTCAAATAACTTGATTATTGCTGAGTGTGGCGTGAAACAATAAACAAAGAAATAATATTTCCTCTTAAGTCATAAATAACAGCCACTTTGTCTATCAATTCAAGCTTCCATATTTTTCTGCTTACACTAATGCATTATCAAAAGTCATAGCATGAGAGATTGATTGGGATATTTCTATGTGAAGTAACTGATAGTGGCATAATACAGGCATCATTATTGACAAATTGTGTGAAAAAAATATAAAGAAAAATAAAACAATTCCATAAAATCAGTATGATACAAAGTCTCATGTAATAATCACAATTAATTGTCTCACCTGTAACTGAGCAGACACATCCCTTTCAAACTTGAGCTGGTACTGCCACATGTAGTCAGGCTGCTCCCATATGACATGGCGGAGAAGCTGCAGGTCCGCATCCACTCTCAGCCACAGCACCGGGGAGTCGGCACTGCAACACCACATCCTCATCAGTAGAACAGGGTCAGAGCTCCAGATAACTTTTTGAGCAACTGAGTTTTACTCTAGGGTTTCTATTTTTCATTGGGTAACCAATATTTTTACACTCATCTATTCATCACTCTATTGTGTTTTTCCCAAAATTAGTGAACACTTTAAGATTTAAAAAAAATATTAATAATGCTTTAGATGTATATAACTGTTCTAAATATATAGGCTTGACTCAGAAAGTAAGTTAGCACATAATTGTGTTTTGGAAATTAGCTCCTTTGTACGCATGCAGAAAAAGCTTCAATGGGTATTTACGTGTGCTGTTTTTATACATTTGAGTTCTTCATTTAATGCATGAGTTTCTGTACGCAAGTTAATTGAAAGTATTTGTGTCTTGAATATTTTGGGGGAGTATTTTATGCAAATACACTGTTTATCTGTAGCTCTGCAGGACACTAACAACCTACACCATATCCACGACTACATCAGGCTCAGACTTTTGGTGACATTTGGATCTGCTTAATCCAAATTTAAAGGATCGAAATGATCAAATTTGCACTGGGAACATGCTCAGTCATCCAGGGTATTATATCTCCACTCTATTACATGAAATACAAGGACCATTCAGTGTCACAGCTTCAAGATGCGGGTAAGAATTACTCTTCAGCTACCAATGCCTGTCATTAGAGGCGACTAATGGGATTGGTTAGTCAGACTCACTGACTTCCTTGATGCACTTCATTGTATCCCATCTGTGCGTTTGATGTCAATCACTGGATTGTCTAGTCCAGACTCATTTATTTACTGACCACCACGATATAGCTAGAATATTGCTGAGTGTGTTAAACAGCAACCAAACAACAAAGCCTCACCCGAGAAGCGATGTCATTAATCTCCATTGTTCTACCAGTGTCAGTAACATGCCACTGAATTTTTCTCACACACGAGAGTAATTTTATAGGACAACTGAAAACAGCCAAAGGGTACAGGGTATTTATCATATGGAACATATGGAAATAAAACTCTTTTCATTCCATTACCAAGATGCACTAAAAGTTAATGTTTTTTCTATGGCCTATGACATTTCTGCATATGACGAAAAAGAAATATTTCTTTGAACTTAATTACACCTTTAATGACACAAAATCATATAGCATTAGCCGCAATAATCAAGTGGTACCTATCAGAAATCCATACTTACTCCATAGCACTTAGATCCATATCAACTTCTTCCCCTGTGATTAATGGAATCTTCTTCTTCTTGTTCCTGTTTACGGGAAATTACACATATCGTGGGACATACAGTCAGGTTTAATGTTGCTTTGAACAACATTTCATTTTTTACACATTAACTTGAGGTGGGAGGCAAGGTGAGATGCTGCTGGTTTCAGACAGTTACCACTTTGGTGAACCCCGAGCATGGAGCTGACAAACCTAGGAACATAATCAGGGTGAATCTGGCATTCAAATCCACATCATTGTGTCAGGTTTGCCTCCCATTCTGTCCAGAATCACTACCTTTACCTGCAACATACACCTTACACAACATTACATGAACTTTCTTCATTCGTGATTCGGTCAAAATACATTCATCTTGTATGCGAACTTAATCTTGTATTCCCCTATACAACTATAGATGACAGGGTGGTGTGGTGAGACATCAATTGTTCCTGTAAATTCTTCCTTCTTATAAGTGACCACTTCATAACAAACAATATGGATCATATTCATTGGGGTTCTGTTCCTTTGCAAGCAACTGCTTGTATGTATGTTGAGCTAATTGATCTGACTGCTATAAACTTACCTCCTGCTCTTGGAATGGCATGTTATCTCAAACTTAGTCTTGTTTTCCTCTATTTTAAATGTGTGGTTGAAGGAGCCGTCTAACTCTTGGATGGTCACTGTCAGAGGGCCCTGGGACGAAGGAACAAATGTTAACATCACATGGAAACATGTTTGTCTATAAAAATTGGTAACATATAGAACAACTTACTCGAAACTCGGCAAAGCTTGAGGCTCACATCATTCATTGAGGACACAATATATAATTCTTCATTGCTTGTTGGTTATCCCTTGATACACTGTTCCACTACTTACCACATATTTCAGGGCGCCCTTGGCATTCAGGTCCTGCTTTATCTCCAGCTCAACGACGTTCCTCTTGCGATTGAACACAAAGTTACCAAAGAAATGGGCACAGCCACTCTGATAACTGGTGCCTTGTGAAGGAGAATATGGCAGCTACTAAGCAGCATGATCAAATATAGAACATTATAGGCCTTAGAAACTTTGAGATAATGTTTCATCATTTCTGTCCTTTTGGGGGCAGTCAGGTAGCCTAGTGGTTAAAGCGTTCGCTCATCACGCCGAAAAACCCGGGTTCAATTCCCGACATGGGTACAATGTGTGAAGCCCATTTCTGGTGTCCCCCTCCGTGATATTGCTGGAATATTGCTAAAAGCAGCGTAAAACCATACTCACTCACTCACTCACTGTCCTTTTGTAGTTTGTTAAGTCTACATTTTTGAGGGAACTGATACATGAAAAAGTGAAAATGTCAGCCTCATTTCAAAATACGACCAATACCTAAGAAGGATACACCCACAAGTCGATAAAAGGCTGGATGTCTTTTCCTGTGACTGTGTAGATGATCTTGAGAAACTGAAAAAATAAATCAAACAAAAACCATACATATGATAATAACAAAATAGGAAAATCTTCATTATCAGGATAAAAAATAAAATTAATAGAAACCCAGTTTTCTCAAACAGGGACATCTCATCCCTTGTTATCTTAAACCTAGTTTCCAGGTTACCTTGAGACAAGTTACTTGATTATCTCAAACCTTGTTACCTGAAATCAGGTTAACGTGACCGGTTATCTCATCAGTAGGTATCTTAAACAAGGTTATCTCAACATTGGTGATGTCATCCCTTGGGTGTCATAGCCAAGGTTATCTTGACTCTGGGGATCTCAGACCTTGGTGTCATAACCCAGGTTATCTTGACTCTGGGGATCTCAGACATTGGTGTCATAGCCCAGGTTATCTTGACTCTGGGGATCTCAGACCTTGGTGTCATAGCCAAGGTTATCTTGACTCTGGGGATTTCAGACCTTGGTGTAATAGCCCAGGTTATCTTGACTCTGGGGATCTCAGACCTTGGTGTCATAGCCCAGGTTATCTTGACTCTGGGGATCTCAGACCTTGGTGTCATAGCCAAGGTTATCTTGACTCTGGGGATTTCAGACCTTGGTGTAATAGCCCAGGTTATCTTGACTCTGGGGATCTCAGACCTTGGTGTCATAGCCCAGGTTATCTTGACTCTTGGGATCTCAGACCTTGGTGTCATAACCCAGGTTATCTTGACTCTGGGGATCTCAGACCTTGGTGTCATAACAAGGGTTATCTTGACTTTGGGGATCTCAGACCTTGGTGTCATAACCCAGGTTATCTTGACTCTGGGGATCTCAGACCTTGGTGTCATAACCCAAGTTTTCTTGACTCTGGGGATCTCAGACCTTGGTGTCATAGTCCAGGTTATCTTGACTCCGGGGATCTCAGACCTTGGTGTCATAGCCCAGGTTATCTTGACTCTGGGGATCTCAGACCTTGGTGTCATAACCCAGGTTATCTTGACTCTGGGGATCTCAGACCTTGGTGTCATAGCCCAGGTTATCTTGACTCTGGGGATCTCAGACCTTGGTGTCATATCCCAGGTTATCTTGACTCTGGGGATCTCAGACCTTGGTGTCATAGCCAAGGTTATCTTGACTCTGGGGATCTCAGACATTGGTGTCATAGCCCAGATTATCTTGACTCTGGGGATCTCAGACCTTGGTGTCATAACCCAGGTTATCTTGACTCTTGGGATCTCAGACCTTGGTGTCATAACCAGGTTTATCTTGACTCTGGGGATCTCAGACCTTGGAGTCATTACCCAGGTTATCTTGAGTCTTGGGATCTCAGACCTTGGTGTCATAGCCCAGGTTATCTTGACTCTGGGGATCTAAGACCTTGGTGTCATAACCCAGGTTATCTCGACACTGGGGATCTCAGACCTTGGTGTCATAACCAAAGTTTTCTTGACTGGGGATCTCAGACCTTGGAGTCATAGCCCAGGTTATCTTGACTCTGGGGATCTCAGACCTTGGTGTCATAGCCCAGGTTATCTTGACTCTGGGGATCTCAGACCTTGGTGTCATATCCCAGGTTATCTTGACTCTGGGGATCTCAGACCTTGGTGTCATAGCCCAGGTTATCTTGACTGGGGATCTCAGACCTTGGTGTCATAGCCCAGGTTATCTTGACTCTGGGGATCTCAGACCTTGGTGTCATAGCCCAGGTTATCTTGACTCTTGGGATCTCAGACCTTGGTGTCATAACCAGGGTTATCTTGACTCTGGGGATCTCAGACCTTGGTGTCATAACCCAGGTTATCTTGACCCTGGGGATCTAAGACCTTGGTGTCATAACCCAGGTTATCTCGACACTGGGGATCTTAGACCTTGGTGTCATAACCAAAGTTTTCTTGACTGGGGATCTCAGACCTTGGAGTCATAGCCCAGGTTATCTTGACTCTGGGGATTTCAGACCTTGGTGTCATAGCCCAGGTTATCTTGACTCTGGGGATCTCAGACCTTGGTGTCATAGCCCAGGTTATCTTGACTCTGGGGATTTCAGACCTTGGTGTCATAGCCCAGGTTATCTTGACTCTGGGGATCTCAGACCTTGGTGTCATAGCCCAGGTTATCTTGACTTTGGGGATCTCAGACCTTGGTGTCATAACCCAGGTTATCTTGACTCAGGGGATCTCAGACCTTGGTGTCATAACCCAGGTTGTCTTGACAAAGGTGATAGACTGGTGATCTCATTAAGGTATCTCAACCCAGGCCATCTCAAGACTGGTGATTTCATTAATAGGTATCTCAAACAAGGTCATCTTGAGACTGGTGATGACATTAATAGGTAACTCTCCCCAGGTCATCTCGAGACTGGTGATCTCATTAATAGGTATCTCAACCCAAGTTATCTCAAGATGGTATTTACCTTGAGTTCCACCTACATGCAACATGTTTAACTGAAGCCCTTTAAACTACTGAGGAGTGATTATTCAAGGTGAAGTGAAATGCGGTTTAACGTTGCTTCCAAACATTTTTCACTTACATAGCGACGTGCATGCATGTGTGTGTCTGAATGGCTGCTTGTACTAGTTTGGACAGATGCCGATTATATAGTGCTAGCCCACTGAGATACCATGCCGCAATTAAACATGACCACGGAGGCAGTCCTGATTATTCAAGAGACAGAGGGATATAGCAGAACAAGCAGAATGATGTCAACTCACGGATGATGTAGAGACCAGCATGTTGGACCAGGTGTTGGCAAAGAACTTCTGCTGGGAGGCTGTGAAGGCAAGAGCTTGAAGCTTGTTCAACACCTGCAACACAAAGTACTCACACATAGACACATGGTGGACACAGGGTTTGCTGTAAATTTGTTGATTGATTTATGCCACTGTCACCAATATTCCAGCTCTATCATGGCTGCCTGTACATCATCAAATCTGTCCCGCATTGACAGAGTAAGATGACACACAAAGAACCAAGTTACTGAGCCTGGCAATCCAATCAATCTAAGTAGACACTTAACAATAAGCATATGTTATCGGGAAACAATTCTATCCAGGAGCCCCCAAATCCCAAGGAAATCCCAATGCACACAACTAATATAACCCTGGACATACTGATAGAATCAATTTAATCCGGAGAACTCCCTGAAAACAACCTTCTTTTAAGACAATGAGGAACCATTTTGAAATATAACGGTGAATCAAAATTTACATTACATCCATCACAAGCAGCCAGATGCTGAACATGCAGTGATTTCCTTTTAGATATCTATTCACAATTTGATGTAAAAAAAATAGAATGTCCCTAGAGAACCAACAGTCGTAGATATTGTATTAATTTAGAGGACTAGTGCAAAACTAATTTCATTCCTCCTCAGATTTTAGAACTATTCCTACTAGACTGGTGTGTTGTAAAATCAGAGAATGGCAAACTGGTAAAGGATTATAGCCCTTCAATGCTACTAATCATTGGAACTTAAATAGTCATCAGAACAGTTTAGTTGCCTGGGGCTAGTAGCCTTTTACCTGCAGAAGCAGCTCCGAGCCCAGCCTGAACTCCAGCATGCGGATGACCAGCAGGGCTTTCTTGACAAACACCTCCAGATACTTGGGTGACACTGTGTGAGGACTCTTGATGGAGAAGTGCTGGTTGGTTTCCTTGCCGACTGGGTCCAGCACCAGACCTCCGACCTTACCCTCGTACTCACACACGTCCTGCAGATGCTGGAACACAGAGTCAGCTGCCATGTAGGATTCACCTCAAGGTTGAACCTTTCTTTTGTTTAATTTCTGTTTGAGGATCACCACAACAGATTTGACACAGTGAGTTTAATAATAAAATTTAATCCTTCGTAAGCAATACAACCATCTTTTGATGGCCAACCATAGCCATCTTTTGACACATCCTTTATTTTCCAGTGTAAAATTGTAAATAAGGCTTAAATTATTTTTTTTTAAATTGGTTCTCAGGGAAGGGTTTTTGAAAATGTAGTGCTGGCTGGCACTGTTGTTGTTTTTTTTGGGGGGGTGTGTGTGTTTCAAACTAGCATATAGCCAAATAAACAGTTGTGTACCATCAGCCTGGGAAAGGACCTCCCTACATAAATCTATTCTTTGATGAGTAAAATACTGGAATACAGTATTTGATTACTGATGGACTTGGAATATTTAAGGATTTTTTTGTTTTTCGAAAAAGGGAAATAAAAACAAAACATGCGGCAAACTTTATGATGATGTGGTCGGTGCCTGAGAACCAAGACTATTATTTTTTTTAGCTTAACATGAACCCATTTGCCACCATAGCTTCACTTTGAATCTGATTCAAATGACACAACTTTAAAAATCATATTACCTTGTCCTTTCATGATTGGGGTTATATCACCAGTACTAAACTCATCTCTCCAATACAACAGGGCCGATGGCAAAGGACTTCCCTCTTCCTATCTTAATTCTTGGGAAAGTATGTTTGCTTGTTAACAGAATATGTATAAGTGTTCTAATTTTATTAAAAAAAATATCAAGAGTTCGCTCGTAAAAGGCTGCAAAAGATTAAATTAAATTTTTTTTTATGCCAAACTCATTCAGAAGAGACATTTGAAGCTCATGAGCAAGGAAATTCTGTGCTAACTGGATGGAAACGAAGCTTTGGTGACAGATGGGTCCAGAGTATTTATCAAAATAGAATGGATAATAATACACTGGATAATGGAGGGTGCTTTTGACACTGACCTTGTAAATAGTCATCCTGTGGTCATTGTTACCAAACGTCTTCTTGATGAACAGACTAGAAAGATAGTTGGCCATTCCTTTTGGCAACCATGCATCATTCCTGCAAGAACACACCATCATCACATTCAGACACAGATACAGGCGATTCAGGGGACTGAGCTGAAAGTATTTACTTACCTGGTTTGCCACCTGAAGTTGTTTCAAACTTTTTCATCACTAACTACACTAAAAGTAAAATTACAACACAAAGAATAGATTCATAGTAATTATAAATACTTTGAAATTTTTTCCTAAGAGTGTTTTGTCCCTCAAGTTTACTCGATCAATATGCTTACGTAAAATGACTAAGGGGTCCGTTCCACAAAGCGATCTAAGCGTTTAGATAATCATAACTCCTATACCGTAACATAGCCTTATGACTGTTGTAGCACGACTGATGCTTCGTGGAATAGGCCCTGGGGTCCAAGGATATACTTACACGGTCTTTCTACATAAATGGTTGGGGGGTTGTTGTTTTACGTCACACTCAGCAATATTCCAGCTATATGACGGCGGTCTGTAAATAATTGAGTCTGGACCAGACAATCCAGTGATTGATAGCATGAGCATCGATCCACACAATTGGGATCGATTACCTGCATCAACAAAGTCAGCGAGTCTGACCACTAGATCCCATTAGTCGCCTCTGCAACAAGCATAGTCGCCTTTTACGGCAAGCATGAGTTCCTGAAGACCTTTTCTACCCCGCATCTTCACGGGACTTTTACATAAATGATTCAAGTTTGTAAGTCCATAATTTTTACAAACCTGTAGAGGTTATGAATTCTCTGATGAAATCCTCCTTGGGGCACTTATTGCATTTTCCTGGCTCAAGAAAATCTACATGACATAGTTGTAACCATTTTCCTTAATAAAAATTGTTACCACACAAAAAACTTTGTTTTTGTATGATATACGTCCACCCTTATGGTGCCTCACCCTCCACGGCGCGTCACGCCAAGGGAAGCAACTCTCACCCAAATCACTTTCCATATGTCTAATGCTGACGGAATGTGGGGAGGCGGGTGGCCGTGCCCCAAGGAGGATTTCATCAGAGAATTCATAACCTCTACAGGTTTGTAAAATTCTCTTTCAGATTAAATCCTCCTTGGGGCACTTATCCCATCAAGATAGACTCCTAAAGAAGTGGAAGTGGCATCCGTCAGCAACAAGCGTGCATAAAAAACATCGTATTTTGATTATTTCAATGAATAAACAAGAGTTCAATAAATGGAACCAACCTTATCGTGAGGCACCACCGTCGAAAGGCGGGGGCTGGAGACAGGGCGTTATCGACCATACACAATGAAAAGAGCCATTCTTTGTGGCTCATCATATCGAGAACTCGAGACACACACACCCCCCACCCCACCCACTTTTTTGAACAAGTGATATTGGGGGCACAGATCACGAGAGACTATAAACCCGCACAGAGCTAGGCCAGAGGGTCCCCGTAATCGAAGGAGTGCATGTGCAATTACGATGATTATCGATTAGTAATGGCTGGTATTGTATCGACCGTAGAAGATAAAATCCGGACCGTTACTGAGCAGTGTTATAACCGGTCCGGCGGTCTAAAATCTCGAAGGCTCAATCGGCTAGAGATGTAGTACTTTGCCCAGTTCGGAGAACTGACTGACCAAACCGAGCACGCTCGCTTGAGTGTTTGTCGAGTTGGTAATGTTTGATGAACGTGCTCGGCTGGCTCCAAATAGCCGCGGAGCAGATCTCCTCAATGGGCAGAGCCGCAGCATACGCTTGTGTCGTAGCCACTGCTCTAACCGAATGAGCCTTCAACTTGGTAGGGGGGTCCCTGCCTTGAAGCGTGTACGCCGTACATATAGTAGAGACTATCCACCGCGAGATAGTTTGTTTGCTCGCCTTCCTACCGCCATAACAGCAAAATAGTTGATTATCCTTACGGATACCCTTAGTTCTGCTGATATAGGACTTAAGGGTCCTGCGGACATCCAAGACATGAGCATGTCTTGTAGTGGTCCCCGACGAGGAAGGCTGTGAAAGAGCAGGTAGCTCAATAGGAGCCGTCACGTGGAAGGCGTGTGCGACCTTAGGACGGTAAGAGTCCGGCAGGCGAATACTGACCCTGTCCCGGTGAAAGACAGTTAGTTCGGGATCGGCTGACATTGCGTGAATGTCGCCTACCCATCTGCCGGACGTTACCGCCACAAGGAACGCCGTCTTCCAGCTCAACAGCTGAAGAGAGAGAGACGACAGATCCCGAAAAGAAGGACCGGACAGCCAATCAAGAACGATTGACAATTCCCAAGGGGGACTGATCCGCCGGACAGGCGGTCGGATCCTGTCCACACCTGCTAAAAAACGCTGCACTAATGGGTGCGCACCCAAAAGTGCCCCGTCGACGGGGACGTGAAAGGCAGCGATAGCTGTAGAGTACCCCCGGACTGTCGATGCGGCCAGGCCGACATCTAGTCGCGACTGGAGGAACTCAAGTACGGCTACGAGATCTGCAGAAAAGGGATCTGCAATCCTTCTATCGACACACCAGCGCGCATAGCAGGCCCATCTATCCTCGTACTGAACGTTTGTCGAATCCCTCCGCGAAGCCAGTATTGTGTCTGCAACTCGTGCAGGAATACCGCTCTCCTGGAGGCGATTCCGGACAGTGGCCAAGCCACCCACTGAATCCTGGGATTCGGGTGGAGGGCCTCGTTCTGGGATAGGAGGTCCGGTCGTAAAGGTAATAGAACAGGAGGCTGAGCCAGAAACCTGAGTGTGACTGGAAACCAACTCTGCGCCGACCAAAGGGGTGCCAGGAGCACAAGTAGTCGCGCAGGCTGAGTGGCTAGCTGAGACAGGACCTTGGAAATCAGAGGTACTGGGGGGAATGCCCACAGTATTCTGTCCGTCCAATCTAGCTGGAAGGCGTCCGGTGCCACCGACCTCGGGTCGGGGACTCGGGAGCAGAACGTTGGTGTCTGGTGATTCACCCCAGACGCAAACAGATCCACCTGGAACGACCCGTATAACTGGGAGATAATCCCGAATATCCCCGGGTCGAGCCTCCACTCGTGAGGAGCGAGGATCCGGCGAGACAGAGCGTCCGCACGGACGTTGTCTACCCCCGGGAGATAAACAGGTAGCACCCTGATAACGTGTGAGTCGCACCATAGGAGGAACTGCCACGTCTCTTGGAGAAGCGACGGAGACACCGTTCCCCCCTGCTTCCGGATGTAAGTCATCGCCGTTTGGTTGTCAATCTCTAGACGCACCACTTGGCCACGAAGCAGATCCAGGAAGCGTTGGAACACCAACCTGACCGCTCTCAGTTCTAGCACATTGATATGCAGTTTGATCTCCTGCTGGGACCATAGTCCCGAGGCAGTGTGATCGTTCAGAACGCCTCCCCAGCCGGAGAGTGACGCGTCTGTTTGAACTGTGAGAGACGGCACGGGAGTGTCGAGGGGGAGCCCCCGGGACAGATTCCCGACCTTGGTCCACCACTGAAGGTGTGCATTGAGCCACTGCGGAGTCTCGAGAACAGTCTCGAGATCTTCCGAGTTCACCCAAAGTCGACGGAGCGCTTGTTGAATGGGTCTCATTCTCAAGCGCGCCCGCCAAACCACATCCACTGTCGCCGCCATGTTGCCCAGTAACTGGAGCCATGTACGAGCAGTGTGACTGGCGGACAGAAGGAACTGGGAAGTAACACTTCTGACCTTGGTAATGCGATCTTGTGACAGAGATACAAGTCCGCTCACCGTGTTGAAATTCGCCCCTAGGAAGACTAGATTCTGAGTAGGGCTCAGATCTGACTTCTTGAGATTGACTATCCACCCTAGAGTGATCAGAATATCTATCACTTGTTGTGTAGCTATCTGACTCAGGGATTGCGATAGAGCTCTTAGTAACCAGTCGTCGAGGTACGGATGGCAGAACCGACCTTTTGACCTGGCCACTTGGGCGGGAATCAACATCAGCTTGGTGAACACCCTCGGGGCCGTAGCGATCCCGAATGGTAGAACCCTGAACTGATAACACCTCCCGTCGAAAGAAAACCTGAGGTATTTCTTGAACTCGGGGTGTATGGGTACGTGGAGATAGGCGTCTTTTAGGTCTATTGACGTTAGCCATTCTCCGGTCTCGACAGCTGAGATCACCGAGCGCAGTGTCTCCATCCTGAAGGACGGTACCTCTATAAGTTTGTTCAGCCTTCTCAGATTGAGAATAGGCCTGAACCCTCCGTCTTTTTTGGTGACTAGGAAATATGTCGAGTAGAAGCCCTCGCTTTCCTGTCCCACGGGAACCGGTTCGATCGCAGCCTTCATAAGAAGTGCGTCGACCTCGGCACGGAGGAATTCCGCCCTCTCCAGGGTAGCAGGCACCGGAGTGTGCTTTATCCCGGAGAAGGGGGGCGGATGATGTTTCCACCGAGGCAAATGGCCATCCCTTAGAGTGGACAGGGTCCAGGGATTGGATGTGACTGTCTCCCATTCCTGCAGGAATAGAGCCAGTCGGCCGCCTACGGGGACATCCGGCTTGAGGCAGCGGACCCCGGCTGTCGGCAGTTCGAAAACATGCGACCGTGGGTCCGCCCGGGGCGCTTCGGGCGCTAATGGGAACCCGATGGGTTCCCGGCCCTGCGAAAAGGCTGCTGGCCTCGACCAGCTGCCCTGCCCCGGCCCCTGCCTCTCTTGCTCCTCCCGGCGCCCTTACCTGAAGGAAGCGGCTGCTTCCAAGCAGGTGCAGACTTCTGACCCGGCGCATCAGCGTAGGAGGAAGCAAGTGGAGAGGTCCGCTTACGCGGTTTAACGCATGGTACCTCCAACAAGGCCTTAGAATCCTTGATGGAGGCATACAACTGTGCGGCCTCTCGGACCACCTGCTGAGCCCCAGGGAAGAGGGTGGCACCCATCTTATAAGGCAAAGCAAGTAGATCCTGGCGTGTGGAAGCCGAGTATTTGGATACCGACATCCACAGCCTGCGCATGCCCATGACTGCGCACATCATCTGCGAGGCACAGCTACGAATAGCGTCCTTCGCAAGATGACTATGTACCTCCGTAAGTTGCGCGGCCAACTCCGAAGAGTCGGCCGGCCCCTCTCCCGCTAACTCCCTCTGTACGGCCGACAGATAAGCGGAGTGTACGGACACCTGGAGCTGCTGACATGCGTTACGATATTGCTCCTCGAAGCAAACGTAAGCAGCCTTCAGCTCCGTACCGCACGCGGGAAAGGGTGGCAACCGCCGGCCCTGCTTGACCTTAGCCAAGTTGGGGGTCGAAGACCCCCCCAGGGTAACGGAGGTCCAGACGCATTCGTCCACCACCGGTACCTCAAAATCACCATCCTCTGCTAACGGGTACCGCTTAATAAGTTCGGGCAGGTCGAACTTCCTGCGGGCACCCGACAACAGAGGGTTGATGACTTCATGCACCAATGAAGACAGAATACGGAGCCGCACCTGGGGCGCCTTGCTCGGAGCAAAAGCGTCCCCCGGAAGGCGGAACTCAGTCGGATCCGACTGGGGCATGGGCGCAGCCACCTGAGGCAGTACCTGGACAATCTTGTCCCGTACATGCCTCAACGAGGAAACGAAGGAAAATATTCCCGAGGTCTCCGAGTCGTCTCCCCCCTCCTCCATCCACTCCTCCTCTCTCGATTCCGAGCCGAAATTAATCGACTCTTCCCCGAGAGAAGAGGCAGACGAAGTTGGAAGGGGACGCCCGAAGGCCTGGGCCTTCGCATCCCCGGGCTGCACCCGGCCCGAAGCCGAGTCCCGGTCCCGAGGTGCCGGGGGTTCAAGGGAACCCACCTGGCTCTGGGCTAGAAATCCGCTAGAGGAAGCCTCGGCCTCGGAAGAGGCGTCTGGCTCCGCTAGGGAGAACTGTGCGTCGGTAGTGAACGGGCCAGTGCCCGCCACCCCTCCGCTGGGGAGCGACCTCGAGCCGGCGCCGAAGCCCGGTCTGAGTTCGTCCCCGAGACCAAGTGGCCTGCCTCGGCCGACGCCGGGCATATCACAAGGTCTCGAAGCCGCGTCCGGCGCCGACAACGGGGAAGGCTCGGTCCGCAACTCCTCTCGGAGCTGAGACTTTACCTCCTCCATCACCGACGCCATCTGCGACCTCAACAAGGCAGAGATGTCTGCCAAAGACAGTGCAGGAGAGGGTGCAGTGATTGTGACGGGGACCCTAGAGCCTTCTCCCCCGGCCCCCGGGGAGGGAGCGGAGGAGACAGTCTCAGCTGCCTTTTAACCCTTTCTTACTTTTTTTGAGGGGGGCGGGGCGGTCTTTGCCGATCTAATGTCCACCCCCGCCTTCAATAGACCCTTAAAGTGTAAGAGGTCCGCATTTCTCTTTTTCTGCGCCCGTGGTGTGAATGCAACACAGATCGGGCATGACCCATCGTCATGCCCGTCTTCGGCCAAACACTTTATGCAGGTATCATGCCTGTCTTGGGGGGGAATCGAAGCCGAGCACCCCGTACACAGTTTGAAGGTCTGTAAAAAAGACCGTAATTTTTGAGTTTGGCGGGAAGGGTAATAAAGTGTATCAGTGCGATTGAAAGATCGGAAAGATATGTGCATAAATTGTGTAACTAGAAGCAAAGGCGTAATTTAGAATGCGATTGGTAACGCGATACTAATAGCCAATGTCGTAGTATAATTATAACACCAAAGTGGGCGTGTTACGCGCGAAGGTGTAGAAAACCCGTAAAAAAAGGTACGTGTAATTTAAAATAATTAACACACCACCTTGGGTTTATTTAAAGGAAAAGATTGTAGGCTAAAGCCCGATGATATAGATTAAAAAACCGAAGCCGTTTTTGATGGCCCTGGTGTTACATATATCATACGTGGCACTACAAAATGGACGCTACGACGGCCTTATTTCAAAGGTATCGTACACGTGTCACATAATTACAACTTTATAACTTTACAATGCGAGGTATTACGCCTTTGCATGAAAGAAATGTACCATACATACAGTTTGGTCTGCCATGGTTCTTGTACGAACGATTATCTTGTCTTTATATTGTCTTGAAAAAAACAGCACGTCTGTCTTTGTCAGATGACATAAGGAAAGTGATTTGGGTGAGAGTTGCTTCCCTTGGCGTGACGCGCCGTGGAGGGTGAGGCACCATAAGGGTGGACGTATATCATACACAAAGTTTTTTGTGTGGTAACAATTTTTATTAAGGAAAATGGTTACAACTATGTCATGTAGATTTTCTTGAGCCAGGAAAATGCAATAAGTGCCCCAAGGAGGATTTAATCTGAAAGAGAATGAGGGTGTGGCAAACCTGTACAAGACAGATTTTATTTCAAGGTAAACCAGCTTCGAAAATGCCATGTCAAATTGCTCCTAGGTACACAGAAATTCAGATTAGGATTTTGGCATGATTCCTTAGCATAGATTTGATAACATTTGTATGACAAAACAACAGACTAAAATCATGTTTCCATCATTTGGGAAGACCATGATCGAACACTGACAAGCTTACCATGACTGCATGGCAATAAAGGCCCCGAAGAACTGTTCCGCAACTGCAGTGGCCATGAGCCGCCGCGTTATGAAGGTCTGGTCGATGATGCGTGATGAATGAAGAAGATCAACACTGGGAACAAACAGGGAGAATGTGTCATGAAACAACATGGCCACTCTACAAACCACCACCATGCTGACTCTACACTGAGGGATGGTGGGCTGCAGGAGGACTCCCTTTCTTTACACACTTTACATGTTAACCTGGGTCAGGCCCTCTATTGTGTGTTTTCGTTTCCTTTGCGTTTTGAGTATTGGGCACAAGCACCTACCCCTCAACCGCAATCCCTTATTCAAAATCCATTTTAAGCTGATGATTACATCCAAAGATTAGGCTCTAGTTATCTCATCTATTTTCAGCACTGCCAATGTAATCATAAACAAATATCTTATTAGCTCTTAAATGTTGTTTTGTTTTGTCTGCAAACAATTGTGCAGCTGTTCAGTAACATACAGCGATCAAAACAAAAGGGGAACCAGTCTGTGTGATATGGAAGAATGTCATAGCAGAAACTGGGTACAATGTGCAAGGCCCATTACTGGTGTCCCCCGCCATGATATTGCTGGAATATTGCTAAAAGCAGCGTAAAACCATACTCGCTTACTCATAGCAGAAACATGGGCTGTGGCACAGTGTGCTTGCTCTAGGAAGAGTGTATCCCTTTCTTTGTTTGAGCAGTATACATGCCTAATTCACAACTTTTTACTACCTGAAGATGGTCATAGTAGCATAAGAAGAGGCATCCACGTAACTCTCGTCCACAAACACCTGCTTGTAGCAGGAGTAGGGATATCTGCTGGACAGCAGCTCCTCGTAGAACTCAAAAGACTGGAAGAAACAATGTAATTTAGGAATGAAAGACATCTTCAGCTTGGGGATGATGAAGTTCTAAATGGTAGAAGTCCACTGGCTCATGATGGAGGTGACACTAAAGTCAGTCGGACTCACATAAGAAACTTAAATAGGCCGAGGAGATGCAGATGATTATAGTTTGTTTGTTTGTTGTTTAATGCCGCACTCAGCACTATTCCAGCTATATGAAGACGGTCTTCATCAACGGAGTCAGCGAGCCTGACCACCAGGTCCCTCTAGTCGTGTCTCACCTCAAGCATGGGTTGCTGAAGACAAATTGTAACCAGGATCTATACTTGATTCATCAGCGTACTATCTCTCTATGCGGAATGCAGATCATGTTGATAAAATATTTCCAACGATGATTTCCAGTTTGCTCACCTTGTGCAGGTTTCTGCCTACTGCCTGTACTCACGTTGAACCCGAGGACTTACCTCATGTAGGTAGCTGGTGGTGTGTTTCAGCACTGACGACAGGTGGGGCAAACAGAAGTGGGTCACTTCATGCATGTTGGGATCAACCAGGATCTCAAATGGGCTGCAAAACAAACAGCTAGTTCAAATATCTATGATTGCCCATATATGTATTTTCTACCTAATCCAAGAATATATATTGGATCTGAAAAGTCCCAGCTAATAAATCAGCAGATCCATGGAAGATTCTGATCCCTGAATACAATGACTCCTAAACACTGACATACCCAACGGCCAGGGCTATGTTGGGGGCTGCGGTTGGTGTTGACAAGTAGTAATGAAAGGTCTTCTTCTTCATGTCCGGTGTGTAGATGACCTCAATCAGATCCCCACAAGACACAGCAGTCATCTCTCGGTCAACAGTGAACTCCAGCTTCCATGAACACGGCTCTGAAAATGTGTCCACACAGGGGAACCATAGCCTGCCGAAAAAAAAATATTGTGATAAAAAAAAAGATATATATGTTAGGTAATCAGACAATGGGGTGACATTCCCCCAGAGAATGTGTACTTGAATGTTAAATCTGATTTTCATAAAATATTTTATGTTGAAAACTACATAAGAATAAACAATTAAAACTCTATTCTGCATCTTCCATTCATTAGATCTTAAGTCATAAATGTCTGAAGTCGGAACAAGGCACATAATATAGATGATATCCACAATCCACAAATGTTTCTCATTTGTTGTTACAGGTAAAAAAAAAAAATGATTGTCAAAAACATGATAGACGGATCAATGCTTTGACATGTTGGATGTTCACTAACAAAGTGTCAACAAAACAAATCTGAACACCAATATCTGTTCAGTAAGACAAACCAATTTCACTGTGGGGCTATGCTGCCTAACATTAGAAACAACTCTTATAATGTCTTGATTATAAAGTTTCAATACACACATATATTAAAAGACATTCCCAAAAAGATTATTGCCAGTTTGAGTTACGGCCAACAAACAATTAATTACTGTAAATCTGTAAATTAAGTCTCCAATTAATATGACTGCTGACCCCTAGCCAAAAATGTGACTCAACATCAATGCAACTCCCCCCACCCCATCCCTAAGGGAATGATACATATCCTTACATTAAGCTTGACACCACGAGTGGGTAGAACTTTTGACCCCAGCAGTGTTAACTCACCGGATGCCTATTGTGTAATTCCTATTCTTTGAATGACATTGTTATATACTTGTTACAACTGCTGCTCTTTAAACTGTTTGTGTTTATATTCAAGTTGCTATTTCCGCTATCCAAAGTGTGCAGTGAGGCCGTCTTATTGTTGGATGGTCATTTGGAGACATAAATGCGAAGTTAGTTAATGCGAGCAAAGACCACTCGCATTTTTCTCATTTAATTCATGCTCGCATTAATTTCAAGATTTACAGTAATTAACCTGTTGTTTCTCAACTTTTCATGCACCACAGTACACACTACCTTGATGAATTTTCATGGCCATAGGAGAACATATGAGCTCCCCTCTCAGCCAAACTGCCTTCAATGTTGGGCACAACAAAATGTACACCTCCTTTTGGGCTGTCAAGTGAAAACTCAATGGAGATCCTTATGGCACGCATGTCTGGAATTACAACAATCATCGTTGTAACACATTCACTGCAGATATGACAATCACAGAGTTCATTCACTTCAGTTCATGTTTTGTGCAGCATAACTCAGCAGAAAGAGAACAACTTATATTTCTTAAAATATACAAAGTTAATTTTCATTCAGTTATATAACATCGTTATTTAATACCAAAATTACCATATGCATGATGAAAGGCCATGTGTTGCAAAATTACAATGCTTCATGTAATGTTACCTGGATGTCGTAAGTAATAAGGCAAGAGAAACGATGCATTCAGAACTGTTCAGCAAATTACAGGAGGAATTGCAAAGGCCAATATGTCTTACCTGCCATTAAAGGGAAGGCTTCTTGGGGGAGCCTGATTGTCACCTCCCCATTGGCATTGTCTGCTTCTACAGCTGTCATGGCCGACAGATGACAGTTTTGGAAAAAGTCAAGATTCCGCCTGAAAACATCATTTTCTCATTAACTGCAAAAAATGAGACTGTTTGGTGGTTTCAATATTATGACATGTTAATGTTAGTGGATGAATGCTGTTTTCCCAACAGTCAGCAATATTCCAGAAATATCAGCAATGACCTGTAAATAACTGCATTTTCTCCAAGGAAACCAAATGTTGATCCATGTAGTGTTACAATAACATACAGTCCGGTCAATGTAACCACCCACTACTCCTCTTACTCATCTCTTGAGACAACCACAGAAAGAGGAGGATAAGTGGTTACAATTTGTGTCCAGTCTGATTGCATGGTTTACATATCTCTTAAAACAAGCATCTCAATGGTGATTCCGGGTTCAAATAGGTCCAGAGGAACCAATGATTGTCATATGAGGAGACTAAATAGATCAGATGGTCACTTGTTGACTTCACTGAGTGCACGTCATCATGCACCGACAACGAGGGGTGTTGCTCATACTATCAATAACTGGTTTGGCCAGTCCAGACATGATCATTTACAGGTCAGCATCATATAGCTAGAATATTGCTGAGTGCAGTGTTAAACAACAAAGTAAGTTTAGACAGATATAGAATACTGGTAACCCATTCATTCCCCACGTAGTGCAAATGTAGTATGACCAATTTACTGTTATTTCATGCAGAATCACAACATGATTTCCCCAATAAACGGGTATGGTAAAATCAAAAATGTTTTAAAATCTTTGTGTTTTGACATATATGAACATTAACACTTACTGTTTGGCATCTCCTTGACAGATCTCCAGTGTTGGGTCATTGTAGAGGAAGGCCGCTTCCCAGGTATCATTGATACATACTCGGTAGATTCCTAAGCTTGTTAAGGAAGTTCACTGGTCTGCATTCAGAGTATTTAACGTTCGTCTATAACATGAATGAAAACATCCTACTTTCTATAAGTTAATGTGTTATTTTTTTAAGCAACATGTCTAAATACATGCACATTAATGTGCTACCTCAATTTCTAATGTTTGAAATATAGCCTGTTAGAAAAAAGGTCCATGTCATTGCCCGAATGTTAAAAACTAAAAAATTGATGTCCTAAAATTTCAATACAAGCAGCTAACCTCAAGCAACCCACAACCCCAACTGCTGACCAGGTTAATGGTGCATTTCTAGAATGCTTGTGTGGGGTCTACCATTATGTAATACTATATATCAGACCAGTGATCCTGCATTAACTTGTAACTGAAAGATCAGACTAGGAAAGGATACTGCATTGTTTACTGTTGATCTTTAACCTCCGCAAGTCTGGCTTCTGGGGATAAAGACTCAGCTCCACATAACCCTGTCAATAAAAACAACCTGGATATAAAGTGTTTACAAAAAGAAGTTTATAAAAGATCACATTAAGGTCACATAATTCAAACAATAAATTATCATGAATTATGCTCTCTGGTCCATTATATTTATTTGTACAGGATCCTTTATGCCCACTGGTAATGGTAATTTTTAAAGTTACAGAATTAATGTCCTGAAAATTATCAAACGTTCATTTGACCGACAACCAGTCATTTATTTTCTTCCACTTGAAATCTTTGGATTTTTGACATGATGAAATACAAAAGAAGAGCTGAAATGAGAATGGCTTATTTTGAAACTTCCAATTAATGTTAACATTACTTTGTAACAAAAGTTAATAAAACTTACAATCAATGATTGTTTCTCGAAGTTGATGGCAGTGATACAGAGTGTCTGATGGGCTGAAATAGAAAGGTTATTATAATGTCTGTATTTAAATGTAATATCTTAATGTCTTATCCAAGTAAATAATAATATTTGAAATAATATTATTAGATACCCAATCTGATCAATGCTAAAAGTATGCTTTTCAGTTTTGGCAAGATTGGTGAGATGATTCCCTTGTTACATTCTTGTTACATTCTACCCTTTGTTATTTTCCACCTTTTGTTATCTTATTAATTTTGTTGTCCTTACATGTACATATATATATATGTGCTCTCTGCCTCATGGCATTCATTCACCTGATGAAGGAGTAACCATATACTCCGAAACATTCTGTTCTTCATAATAAAGACGTTGACATCCATATATCTTCCACCTTTTGATATTTCTTGATTTCAACAATTTGCCTATCATGTCCATACATACAATTATATGTGGTCTTTTTTCATTCAAGTGCTATTCAATATCATATATAAAGTGGTGTGCCTTTGGAGCAGCATTTTATTGTCTCCTATAATGAAGTCATTGCATTGCTCATAGTACCATGTTACCAGGTCTGAGACAACTTCTTTCAGTGGCATCTGAGACAGACACCTGTGTGTTCAATATGGAGAGGTTTCATCGAAAAATTGAAAACACAGTTCATTATTCAATGATGGAGATGCATGTAAAATTTTCATGGATTAATATGGTCTCTTTATCTGGTCAAGGCACAACACAAAGTTTTTAGGTGCAATCAAAGATGTATATACATCTGTACACATCTTTGATGCAATCAAATTTCAATGCTGCACTCAAAATACAGTGTGTTTGTAGGCTTATTGAACATGTGTGAAAAGAATGGTATCTCTTCCTAATACTATAGGGATGTAGTTCTTCATTGGCACCTTTGACTTAATATTTCAGTGATGCCTTCAAGTTCCAATGTATGTCATTATCACACTACAATCACTGTACACCTTACAAGGAAAGGGAGATAACCCATTTTGCCTATTCAATGTAGCGTCAATATTAATTACTAGAAAACTTGCAGATATACATTTTCTGCTAAAATCAAAAGTGCAAAAAGGGAATGTGTCCTAGAATCATTTCTTCTGTTAATTCTTGCATTTATACTTCTCTCATTTCAAAAATGGATCAAGATCCTCCAATGTTTTATTATTGTAAACTATATGTGCTGATAACAAAACTTAGCAGTATTTTGTTGATATACAAGATGTTCCATGATGATTATCAATTATGTTCCAAGTCTATGGCAAATGGTAATGCTATAACACAGTTGTGGTTGATAAATGTTTGATTGAAATTTATGAACACTTTGAAATCCAGTGTTGGGTCCAGATTGTTTATGACTTTATCATGTTTTGGGGGTGATTAACAGAAATGACAGTTCCAGTCAGGGAGTGTAGCACAATAAGCAGCTGTAAAGTTACGAGTAGGGAGAGTTTGGAAACTTCAAATTTAGAAACATGGAGACGTACATATTTTGTATGGACGGTGATTATCAATTTTCGGTTCCTTCTTCATTTCTTGTTTCGTTGTCTGGTGTACAGCAAATAAATATCTTCAGTCTTCATAGCGTAACAATGCACACATCATGACACATCGGCAATCAGCGGCTTTCCCCGTGTTTACTTCGTGCGATTCATTGTTGACTTCAGGGAGCCGCCATTTTATAATGAATAGGTTCAAATGTAGTTTCGTATTATAAACCTAAAGATCTCCTTTTACTGAACACGGATATTTACCTGCAGTATGTTTGACTATATTTTTTTAAATACAATTTTTTTGTCATTTCTGAATGACACCTGTGTCAATACTTCTTCATTATGCGAAAACAACACAAACCACTTTACTCTAGTACATTGATGGCGGATTGACAACTCACCAGTTGACTTATTCAACGCCTGGGAAAATATCTGGTAGAAATCAATTAAATTTGTGATTTCAAGAAAACGGGAATATGGCTAGTCCAAGAACTAGACGGGTTCTAAAGGATCTGAAGATTAAAGATGACAACAATGTAAGTTGTAATATTTTTTGGTGAGGGTAAAATAAATTTGTTTACGTCAGTGGTCGTTCTCACGTGTGATGTCATTGTGGACCAGCCACCTGCTAACTTTCAATATGGGATTTCTCTTTAGGATATATATCTGGTTAGTTGATATAAAGTCAGACATACTATTGACTCTGTTATTGTATATACGTGTCCAGGAATAATGTCGAAAACGTTCTTTTCATTCTACACTTCTTATGGTCTTCAAGAAAATCTCGATTTACGATACTCAGGACAGAAAAAATGACAGCTGCAAGATAAAAGGATTTAACTTAGAGGGTATATAATACAACATGTAAATAGTCACTGAACATATATTTTCCTCTTTCTGAAATTATACAAACATGAAAAATATGTTCACACTTAATCATTACAGCAATATGTAGGGTTGATATTTATTTTAATGATGATTTCAACAAACATAATTTGACAGTCTTTTGCCATTATCTCATTTTTATATTCAAAGATATGTGTAGAGAACCGGCTTTAAACCCATAGATACCCACAGAGCAACTGCACATCCCTATCCTAATGCAAATAATCGACCCAATGCAAAAGAAATTATAAAATCCCAACAATACATAGTGTTCAAATGAAGCATAATAGTAAAAAAAAAATCCTTGTTATGGAGTTACAGTGCGAAAAATATTAGATTATATTCATTTATGAACATGATAAATGTTATCCTTATATTCTAATATACAACTGCCAAAGTTCTCAAGCACCTCCTTAGTATCAATCACTGGTACAAATGATACAACAATATTTCGTCCTGCAAATAACAGGATACATCCCAAATCAAACTGAAAAAACCCAGATTTCTTTCACTCAGCTATTGTTAATGTTAAAGACAGGGACAGCCATAATTGGTTGGTTATCAAATCAACAGTTTATTTTGTCTAGAAATTGAAGTTTGTTACCATTGGTTGTTCCTGTTAAATTTCACTAATTCCATTGATACATATAAATAACTGTGATAACTGGAAAATATGTTCAGTAACTGCATCCAGTGATTTCACTTCCCTCTGTACTGGGGGTGTATTCGCAATAACTATTGATGGTGGACTAAAGGCATAAAAGATATAAATGTGAACATCAGCGATCAGTAAACATAATTAACATGATCAGGCCTGCACAGGACTGTTAACTGCTGATCAGTGGACCATCTTTCCAGGCAAGTGACTGATTGACAGCTAATTAAAATAAACATCAGACTGGTTCACAGCTGTTTGGCTGCCTGTTGTAATATGCTTCATCATGTTTATTGGGTTCAATGTGCAGATTGTGTTGCAAACTGATCTTTGTGTTGTATCTGAATTTCCTTTTCCATTTGAAGGAACATATAACTGCAATTATTGGAAATATATGCCTGCCTGTGATTTGTCCCATCTGTTCAGTAATAAACACCAAATAGACATGATATGATATAGCCCTATACATTTCCCACATTTAAAGTTGAAATTTTATTATCGTTCGGAATACCTCGGGTTAACCTTGTTGATGGTGCTTCATGAGGAAACACATACCAACTTTCACTTACTCGATCTGGTAAGTGGTGCTCTGATACGTTGGATGAAAGGTCGTTCTGACATGACCTGTATTGGGATGTCCTCAGATCTTTGTTTAGTGGCAGTGAGAACTAAGATCTGATTTTAATAAGATTGTAATACAGCACTGATTAGAATTTATTGTTTTGAATATATTTAAGCAAGCTCCTGTGTAATACCAGTTTTATGAAACAAGTGAATAGTACTGGTATCTGACGAGTGAAAGCATGAGAGATACCTGATTTATTCACGAGTTTCATAAAATCGGTGGTACATGTGAGTGAGTTTAGTCGTTTATTTATTACTTGCCGTTTATGATAATGCTTTCAAATTTCCCTGTTGTGTGTGAATAGGCAGACATCTATGAGGTCTTCAGCATAATCCAATTGAGTTTAATAGAATAATTCTTCAAACATGTCAAAAGTTGACATATATTATTTGATACCAAATAAAACCCCTACCTTTAGAATTCAGGGTTCGTAGCGCTAAGGTTATCATAACTCCCATACTTTAACATAGACTTATGACTGTCGTTGTGCTCCTATCGCCTTGTGGACAGGCCACTGCACCACAAAGTTTACAATCACGTCACAATGTCCTATTACGTAATTTGTGGAATTTTGTTAGAAGTTCCACCAGCGAAACAATGCCATGTGACATCAGCCAAGCAACAGGGTTGCAGGGGTCATCGAGTGTGCATAAGCTCCTCTCAGTGATCTATCATCTCTAAACGCAATGTCATTGAAAAGGCCCAGAGATGTTTGGAGTTTTCAATATTTGTTAGTGAAACTTGTTCCTGCAATACATAATCACATGCTTTGGTAGTACACAATGTGTAACACAGCTGTATGTTTATTAAATGGGTGCTCTGTTCATGCAAGTAATAAAATCCCTTCTTCTATTATGTCTACTGTTACAGCTGTCACTGATATAAATACAGTGCCTTTCATCATGTTCATTGCCAGCTAGTTATCTATCATGATCTACAATGATCTACAATATTACTATTGTCTGTGTTACTAGTAATATGTATCTCAGTTCATTTGAAACCGGAGTTGTCATAATGTTATTTTCCTTCTCATCACATTACATCCACTGTATTTAAGACAGCAAACTTAAGCATGGAAGCAGTGTTTGAAATTAATTTAAAACCCGGCAAGTCAAGCAGGTGACCCATAAGTGTTGCCTGCCCATCTTCAAAGTTACCATCCTGCTTTCAGACAATATAGATATTAAAAAATCACACACAAAATTATGGACGAATCTTGTCTTGAGTCAGCTGAAATAATGCAAACAATTACTTGGGAATCTTCAAGAAGTGTGTAAGTAGTCTTAAAAGTATCTGCCAGACAGTAGGACAGGTGGAGGATACCTTCATGCAGCCCGACAGAAATGTTACCAGCCACAGGCAGGCAGGCAGGCAGTAATTTCGGACTCTGCGTGGAAGTCAAAGGGTCCTTGTCACAGCCCAGTTGTTAACATGGTTAAGTGTTAAGAAAAAATGTAGGTCCTCTAGGACCTCCCTTAACTTCCATCACTGTAAGATGTCACAGACCTGATCACTAGTTTTAAAACAGTACTCAACTGAACATGTGAAAGATTATGTTTTGTTACTCACTTCAGAATGGTCATTGCCCTAATGGGGCCAGGGTAACTTTGTGATCAAGGCATTCACTTGTCAATCCAAAGGTCCGCGTTCAATTCGCCATATGGTTACTATGTGCATGATGTGTGAAGTCCACTTTTGGTGTGACCCGTGAAGATCCGGGGTAGAATAGGCCTTCAGCAACCCATGCTTGCCGTTAAAGGTGACTAACAGGATTGGGTGGTCAGGCTCGCTGACTTGGTTGATGCATGTCATCGATCCCAATTGCGTGGGTCGATGCTCATGATATTGATCACTGAATTGTCTGGACCAGATTTGATTATTTACAGACCGTCGTCATATAGCTGGAATATTGCTGAGTGCGGCATTAAACAACAAACCAACCAACCAACCACTTCTGGTGTCTCCTGCCATGATATTGTTGGAAAATTGCTAAAAGTGCTGTAAACCCCAACTCACTCATTATCCTATTTGCCATCAACACTCTTCATGATGGGTTAACAAATCTGAAATAATTTACTGTACCACCATGTGACCACGGACCAATGCCAACAATTGGGATTCACTGCTATGATTTAAAAATATCTCTGGCCCCTATCTATCCAGCAGGGTAAGATCACACAGGGATGTACATGATGTATGTAGACATAGTATTAATATTACAATGTCACAAACTTAATAACAGGTCTGCCCACCATGAGCAGTGATAAAAGCAGTGCATCGCAGCGCATGGAGTTTATCAAATGGGCATGGAAGGCTTGTGGAAAGCCATATTCTCTGCAACTCTGATGCCAAATCGCAAATGGTATCTAGTGGATTTCATCCCACACATGCTCTATACTAATATCACACTACTATCATGACTATGTCCACCTAATGAAGATCCGGCTTAGAATTGGCCTACAGCAACCCATGCTTGTCCTTAGAGGCGACTAACAGGATCGGTTGGTCAGAATAGCTGACTTGATTGATGCATGTCATCACATCACAATTGAGTAGATTGTGGCTCATCGTGTCAATCACTGGATTGTCTGTTTAACAATATGAACATGAATTGGGAAATGTTTAAGTCCAACTTGGGAATTTTTACTGGCATTTGTTGCTGATTTGGGGCTGAATGGCGGCCTCTGAGCAGGTTTATATAAATCCCTGAAATGGTTGGCTGCCCTAGTCATCACAGACCTTATCAGCTGTGCTTTTAAGATGTGGGTTAGAATTGGTTTCCAGAAACCTATACATGTCATAAGAGGCGACTGACGGGATCAGTTAGTCAGGCATGCTGACTTGGTTGATGTATGTCATCGTATTCCCAATAAGTAGATCTATGCTCATGATGACAATCACCATCAACACTGGATTGTCTGGTCCAGAATCACCCAATTGTGTGGAGTTTTACAACAAACAAATAAAACAAAAAGTAATCTGGTAATGTTTATTTCAGAACTGTTTTGAGTGTGGAGCTCATAACCCACAGTGGGTGAGTGTCAGTTATGGGATCTGGATCTGCCTGGAGTGTTCTGGCAAACACCGAGGACTTGGAGTACATCTCAGGTAAAGTGATTCAGAGGATTAAACTGTTCCAGTCTCTTTTCAAATTGTTACACATTTACTTTGTAGTCATTTAGTCCTGTTGCAAAAGTATATTTTCGTGCCATTGTCAACACTATGTTTGTATTCAGTCTACAACAGTGATAAATTTCAAAAAGGTTTATGTGATTATTGGGAACCTTTTCACCACTACATTTGTCTCCCAAGAAAATCCCTGGATACCTGCTAGCACCTCACAACGTGTACCTCACACAGCACTTCACAGCATGTGCTTCAAACAGCACCTCACAGCATGTACTTCACACAGCACCTCACAGCATGTACTTCACACAGCACCTCGCAGCATGTACCTCAAACAGCAACTCACAACATGTACCTCACACAGCAACTCACACCATGTACCTCACACAGCACCTCGCAGCATGTACCTCACACAGGACCTCACACCATGTACCTCACACAGCACCTCACAGCATGTACCTCACACAGCACCTCACACTATGTACCTAACACAGCACCTCACAGCATGTACCTCACACAGCACCTCACACTATGTACCTCACACAGCACCTCACAGCATGTACTTCACACAGCACCTCAAAGCATGTACCTCACACAGCACCTCACAGCATGTACCGCACACAGCACCTCACACTATGTACCTCACACAGCACCTCACAGCATGTACTTCACACAGCACCTCACAGCATGTATCTCACACAGCACCTCACAGCATGTACTTCACACAGCACCTCAAAGCATGTACCTCACACAGCACCTCACACTATATACATCACACAGCACCTCACAGCATGTACCTCACACAGCACCTCACACTATGTACCTCACACAGCACCTCACACTATATACATCACACAGCACCTCACAGCATGTACCTCACACAGCACCTCACACCATGCACCTAACACCATGCACCTAACACAGCACCTCACACCATGTACCTCACACAGCACCTCACACCATGTACCTCACACAGCACCTCACAGCATATACCTCACACGGCACCTCACAGCATGTACCTCACACACAGCACCTCACACCGTGTACCTCACACGGCACCTCACACCATATACCTCACACGGCACCTCACAGCATGTACCTCACACACAGCACCTCACACCATGCACCTCACACAGCACCTCACACCATGCACCTCACACAGCACCTCACACAGCACCTCACACTATGTACCTCACACAGCACCTCACAGCATGTACCTCACACAGCACCTCACACTATGTACTTCTCACAGCACCTCACACCATGCACCTCACACAGCACCTCACACTATGTACTTCACACAGCACCTCACAGCATGTACCTCACACAGCACCTCACAGCATGTACCTCACACAGCACCTCACACTATGTACTTCTCACAGCACCTCACACCATGCACCTCACACAGCACCTCACACTATGTACTTCACACAGCACCTCACAGCATGTACCTCACACAGCACCTCACACTATGTACTTCTCACAGCACCTCACAGCATGTACATCACACAGCACCTCACAGCATGTACCTCACACAGCACCTCACAGCATGTACCTCACACAGCACCTCACAGCATGTACCTCGCACAGCACCTCACACTATGTACCTCACCCAGCACCATATACCATTCACCTCACACTATGTACCTCACACAGCACCTCACACAGCACCTCACACCATGCACCTCACACAGCACCTCACACCGTGTACCTCACACAGCACCTCACACCGTGTACCTCACACAGCACCTCACACTATGTACCTCACACAGCACCTCCCACTATGTACTTCACACAGCACCTCGCAGCATGTACCTCACACCGTACCTCACAGCATGTACCTCACACAGCACCTCACAGCATGTACCTCACCCAGCACCATACACCATTCACCTCACACAGCACCTCACACAGCACCTCACAGCATGTACCTCACACAGCACCTCACACCATGTACCTCACACCGTGTACCTCACACAGCACCTCACACTATGTACTTCACACAGCACCTCGCAGCATGTACCTCACACCGTACCTCACAGCATGTACCTCACACAGCACCTCACACCATGTATCTCACACAGCACCTCACAGCATGTACCTCACACAGCACCTCACAGCATGTACCTCACACCGCACCTCACACCATGTACTTTGCACTAACATTGAGATGTTATTATTTTATCTGTGGGTTTTTGAGTATAGAAGAAAACATGCCTCAGAGGTTTTGGTTGAAAATGTATGAACCCATGGGCTATTTGGACTAAGAGCATTTACATGTTCAACCATACTTAGGAGAAGTGATTATTACATTAAGTAATACGTTACCACTGTTATACCGAGGCTGTTGTCTCCCACAACTGCTGCTATAGCGAAATCTACCACAGAGATCTCAATTACCTCATGCAGCACGTGCGTAGCCACCTAGCTGCCATGTGACACCCTTCACTCTTGTCTCTTCGCTTGCTCTAGCAAGACGTACAATAAACTGCTCAAGCGTTCCAGTTTCTCCGACCAATCGGTGATATTTATTACTGTTTATTCTCTCTAATAAACTGTGCTTTTACGGGGCGTTTGCTGTAAATACGCTTGGAAATATTTTCCCGCCAAAAGGAAATATTTTTCCCGCCCTTTTTTTCTATATACTTGCGGGGTGTCTCGTATGCACGTTGCGTCTTACGTTCCCCTGTTCTAGTATATCTTGGGTTTTTTACATCACTTAGACCTCTATATGTTATATGTGTATGTTCTATATTCGCATTGCTCGTTTATTTTCTTGTGAAAAAACTCGTTTGTGACTATTTGTGGTGCGTGTGTTGTAACCATGTTTTGCTCTTTGTTCATAGTACAAACAAAATGTCTGACATGGATGTTTCGCCGTCCTCCACCCCCTCTACCCCCGCACCCAGGAGCTGCGGGGTGTGCCGCAAGCGAGCGCTACCGGCTGTATGTGCAGTCCGTTTCCACCCCTGTGGTGGCCGGCTCGTCCGGTCGGGGTCCCCTTGCGGGTACCACCACCACGGCTGCGGTGGATCCCTTGGCGGCCCGTGTGCTGTCCGGGGATTCCGTCGCTGCATTACTTGCATAACTTGTGGACTCCAAGCTGGCGGCCTTATCTCAGGATAGGCCGCTGGCTGTTCCGTCCCCAGCCACTTTGGTGGACATGCCCCGGCCGGTACCGCGGGGAATCCACGACTGTGGGTTCCTCCGAGGTATACGGCTCGTCCGGTCGGGGTCCCCTTGCGGGTACCACCACCACGGCTGCGGCGGATCCCTTGGCGGCCCGTGTGCTGTCCGGGGATTCCGTCGCTGCATTACTTGCATAACTTGTGGACTCCAAGCTGGCGGCCTTATCTCAGGATAGGCCGCTGGCTGTTCCGTCCCCGGCCACTTTGAGGACATGCCCCGGCCGGTACCGCGGGGAATCCACGACTGTGGGTTCCTCCGAGGTATACGATGAGTCTTCCGACATGGCTTTCCCCGCATCAACCTTGCTGCGCGGTATCAAGCCTTCCTTGGAGAACGCCTTTGCGGCGGCCTCCGGTCGGGGTCTCCCGTTGCCTCCGACGTCGTGGAGAAAGGGTTTATTCCCGGTACATGACCTTGCCTTTCCCGAGGCTGGTCCTACCGCGGAGGCCCATGTTGAGCGGTTGGGTGTCCGTGCCCCACCGGCTGCTACGGTAACGCAAGCTACCTTGCACCAGCTGGACGTCCTCGCTCGGCACTCCATGTCTCACGGAGTCACTTACTTGGCTGCAGCGGCCTGTCTGGTCGAAGGTTCTCCCACGGACCGTGACCAGCGCATTTACAACTGCCTGCTCAGTTTAAATGCTTCCCTGGAGTACGTTGCCGAGGACTCTCGGCACACACTTGCTCTTGTTGGGTCCCTGCATAGGCGCCTGGGTGCCGCTCCTAACCGGAGCGCGCCCCAGGCTGCTGTGGCCGGTAGGTCTAAGGGGTCGGGTTCTTCTTCCTCTGGGAAGTAGCCCCGTCCTGAGGGCTCTGGTATGGGCAATCAGCTGCCCTTTCGCGGGAAGACGGGGAACTGGGGGAAGCCCAAGTCGTCTAAGGACGGCAAGGGCCCCTCCAGATGACTCTCATTGGAGGGGTTCGTATGCCGACAGCGCCATCTTCGGTTGGCCCTTCGGCGTACCCGAGTCACTTGGCCCTGGACAGTTGCGCCTGCCGCAGCCTGTCAGGGCCCCCTCTCCTTCCCCAGTGGGAGCCAGACTCCAGACTTACTGGGAGAATTGGGAACAAGTGTTCGACGACCCGTGGGTGGTCAACACGATTCGGTACGGCTCTCGGCTTGATCTCAAAGCGAATCCGCCGCTCACTGTTGCCCCGTTGGCAGGTTTCGATTCGGAAACGGATCTTCCCATCCTCGCCGATGCCATCGGCAGGTTGGTGGAGAAGGGGCAGTACGGGAGTTAGCTCTACCAGAAATAACACCGGGGTTTTACTCCAGGATATTTCTCGTTCCCAAGTAGGACCGTGCCGAACTCAGAATGATTCACACGTCCGCTCCCTGGCTGTTCACCCGGTTAACCACCCCCATAGTGGGGTTCCTCCACAGGAGGGGTGTCCGGTATTTCGCGTACCTGGACGACTCGCTAGTAGCAAATCGAATGACGGACACCCTGTCACGCCATCTCATTTCGCACATGGGCTCTTTGAGCAATTGGGGTGGATTATCAATCTCCCCAAGAGCGAGTTAACCCCTTCTCAGAACTTGCTGTTCATCGGAGGTCGGTTCAACATGGTGTCCCATCGCCTCTTTGTCCCCCCAGACCGGTGGCACAAGATTCAGGCGATGATTGCCAAAGTCTTAGCGGTGCAACAGACTGTTCACTTTTGGGAACAGCTGTTAGGGCTACTTGTATCAGCCCAGGACTGCACCGAACGGGGTCGTCTCCAACTCCGCCCGCTGCAACGGTTTTTAATCCAGTTGTTAGCAACGGAGGTGAACAGTGCGACCGTCGCCCTCCCGGATCGGCTCCGACCGCATCTGGAGTGGTGGACGGTCCCCTACAATGTCTTATCAGGCGTCTCTATGCGGCCCTACCGGGCTACGTTGACCCTGTATACAGACGCCTCTCTAGTGGGCTGGGGCGCCCATCTAGAGGGGGTGGTGAGCTCGGGGCTGTGGTGCGTAGACGAACTAGGTCTTCACATCAATTGTCTCGAGTTCAAGGCAGTGATCAACGCAGTCAATCACCGGAAGCATCGTCTCGTCGACGCCCGGCTCATGCTGGCGACCGACAACACAAATGTAGTGTCCTATGTGAACAAACTGGGGGGAACCCACAGTCACTCGCTACTCGATCTCACGTTCGAGTTTTACGCTCTGGTGGACAGTGTCCAGTGCCAGATACGCGCCCGTCACATCCCAGGTGTGCGGTACGTACTGGCCGATGCTCTATCGAGGCCTCAGGATCCGAGCCCCACAGAGTGGATGCTGAACCCAGTAGTGTTTCAGTGGCTGTGCGAACGTTTGGGTCGTCCGATGGTCGACCTGTTCGCAACGCGGTTCAACAATCAACTCCCGTTGTTTCTATCACCTGTCCCGGACCCGAGGGCCATCGATCACGATGCTCTGGCGTTAGTCTGGACGGGCTTGGACGCTTATGCTTACCCGCCGACAGCGTTGATACCACACATTCTAAGCCAGCTCCGAGGAGTTCGCTGTCGAATGTTACTGATCGCTCCCATGTGGCCGAACAGATCGTGGTACCCCGACTTGCTGACCCAGGTCACGCAGTCGCCACTTCCACTGCCTGTGAGACCGGATCTCTTGATCCACCCTCACACCCGTCAGCTTCATCCAAACGCAGGGCCGTTCAATCTGCACGCGTGGATGTTGTCACCGAGCGTCTGAGGAGTACAGGTTTTTCTTGCCGGGCGTCTCGGGCATACGTTAGTATGCATCGTGATTCTACCCAGAAGGTGTATAATGCACGTTGGGTTATTTTCACGAAGTGGTGTTGTAAACATCACATTCATTCGCCAGATAAGGTATCTGTGCAGGATATTGCTCGTTTCATGTCTCACTTGCGAGAGACCCGGAAACTCTCCGGGGGTTCCATTGCCAACTTTGTCTCGTCCGTTGCTACGGTACGGGACGTTGCTATGGGTACCAGTCTCTCCAAAGAGCCGGTGATACGGGGTATTATCAAGGGTTTCAAACAGCACGATCTTAAGAAGGGCCGCCTTCGGGCACCGGCCTGGGATCTTTCCCTAGTGTTGCAATCACTTACGGAAGCTCCGTATGAACCCTTGCATAGTGCTTCGTTCCGGCATGTGACTTGGAAAACAGCATTTCTCCTCTCCTTTGCCACGGCGGCATGTGTATCCGAAATTCATGCACTCGATGTCGCCAAGGTACGATTCGATAGGGGTGACGAAGGAGCGGTCAGCCTGGGCCTGCTCATGGGCTTCGTCACCAAGAATCAGAGAGTCAGGCAAACGGAGAGTGAATTCACTGTAAGATCACTCAAAGAAATCTTACATCCTGCTGATACTGAGGACAGACCGCTGTGTCCGGTTAGGGCCCTTAAGTATTATCTTAAGGCTTCGAATGAACGTAGACAAGTGCGTGACCGTCTGTTCATTTCGTGTAACCCTAATCGCACGGTTGACATAACTCGCAACTCAATTGCGTTGTGGCTTCGTTCTGTCGTCAATCTGGTGTACTGGTCTCGGGGGTTACCGGTAGCGGGGTCAAACCCGCACGAGATCAGGGCGCTAGCGGCAACATTTGCCTTACACTCGAATATCTCTGTTCGCAGAATATTACGAGGTTGTTACTGGCGTTCTGACTCGGTTTTTGCCAATCATTACCTCAAACAGGTCGCTGATGCCGTTGTGGAGAGTGTGCACCGTCTTGGCCCGCGGATCGCGGCGCAAGCGGGCACCTAAGGGGTGTGCCCAGCGCAATTCCGAACTCCTCAGGCGTCTGACCTTGCACGGTGGTCAATCTGGGTCGACTCCAATGTTCCCACTGCCGTGGGTACAGGAGTTGGGGTCCCGCAAACCAGCGCACTCACACCACAGGTGAGGGCAACTTTTTGTGTGCTTTGTCCTTATTTGTATTTTGACAATTATGTATTTAATTGTCTGTCGTGTATCCCAACCTTGTGATGCATGCTTACAAATACTGGAATTAGGTCACGCGCCTAATGCATACTTTAAGTAGGCTTGCTCTGGGATATACGGTCTGAATGAAATTAATTTCCCTCTTTTCGACTGTTTAACCTGATCTAAGATTAAGCTCACGCGGATACAGTGTTCTCATCCGCTGCGGCGATGAAATACCTATCCAGTGGGGCCGTTTGGAGTCACCCATCGTTTTGGCAATGACGATTGAGCCTTACGGTATGCGCTTGACAGTGCTTTGGTATTCCTATAGGGTAACGCCTAGTTAGGTGCATGCGCATCGAGTGCTTCCGCCTTGGTGTTTACTTCCGCTGGTCGGAAGGAACGCTAGCAGTCAGGATTCGGGTTGTAGGTGCTCCCCACCGCCTACTGTGGTAGTCAGCCTCGGTATAACAGTGGTAACGTATTACTTAATGTAATTTGTAGAATTTTCCTATTCGGAATATTCTATAAGTAATACGCTACCACTGGGCTGCTGCCCGCCCGTCCGTCCCCCGAGCACTTGCTCTCGCAAGAGACAAGAGTGAAGGGTGTCACATGGCAGCTAGGTGGCTATGCACGTGCTGCATGAGGTAATTGAGATCTCTGTGGTAGATTTCGCTATAGCAGCAGTTGTGGGAGACAACAGCCTCGGTATAACAGTGGTAACGTATTACTTATAGAATATTCTGAATAGGAACATTCTACAATTTCTGACTTATATGCCGCTGAAACAACATTTAATACTATTTGTTTGATATTATGTGTTACAGTGCATTACGACAGTCTAATGAAAAAACTGAAAATCGTCCAGGAAGTATGCACAAAACATGGTACCTCCTGTGGAAAAGTTCTGCGGTCTAGTGGTTAGAGTACCTGATTACTGATCAGGAGGTTGTTGGTTCAATTCATGTCATCCATAATGAAACAGCTTCGTTTCTTATTTTTAAAAGTCCAATCTTCATGGTTTGGTTGGTGGTTGCAGCTTTGTCCGGTCAGTGACGATGGACAAGTGGAAGGACACAGAGCTAGAGAAGATGAAGGCAGGAGGGAACCGTAAGACCAAGGAGTTCTTCAAATCTCAGCCTGACTACCAGGAAGGAATGAGCATCAGTGAGAAGTACAACACTAAGGCTGCAGCTCTCTTCAGAGATAAGGTACCGTATTTGCTTGAGTATAAAGCACACTTTTTGAAGAAAAAAAACACAGCCGGGTAGAAGGGGGTGTGCCATAATGAGTTTTGATGTTTTTTGCCCCCAATGCAAAGACATTACTGTGCGCACGTAACACCAGAAATATGTCAACAAATCCATACTGAAGTACGCAAATTAATCATGTAATTAATGTAACACTGTCTGGTTATAAAAAGTGTTCTTTGTATATCTGGACTTATGTTTGTAAGTTATTTCATTAATTTATTCAAAATTCCTGTTGATATTGTTTTAATTAATTTCGGCAAAATCATGTGTGTAGCGATTAGAAGATTGCACAACTCAATGTTATTAACGGCAATCACGGTAAGATTACCGCTATTGACGCCTTGAAATGAACGTTAGTTGACAGAGAATGGATACATATATCATAAATGCCATACTTTGACTCGCTAAAAGTCATATTTGTAGTAGTTCAAAGATTCTATGTCAACATATAGTTCTCACGATCACGTGCGTGGGAGCCTCGACGGTGACTAGTCAAATTGTTCCATGTGAAAAAAAATAACCGACAATGTGATCATCTGCACGGAAGTGCTACGCTTAGGGTTATTATTATTTTAAATATATTTAGTAAAAGGTGCAACTAAAATAAGAGATAAGGTAGTAAGTTATACATTAGGGATGAGCATCAGTGAGTAGTACAACACTAAAGCAGCAGCCCTCTTCAGAGATAAGGTAGTTATACATTAGGGATGAACAACAGTGAGAAGTACAACATTAAAGCGGCAGCCCTCTTCAGAGATAAGGTAGTTATACATTAGGGATGAACAACAGTGAGAAGTACAATAGGATGGGGGATACGGTTCAAACTCCAGATACTCCAAACAGATTGTGTGATGTGTCACCATGGTTCTTGTGATAGAAATTAGCGCCTTGATGGATTTTTCCCAATGTTGAACGTGATGCAGGATTGAGTGTATATTGGCTCCTGGAAAGGGGAGATAATTACTGAATATTCCCTTTTGGATTGTCTCCCCTTTACTGCAAGTTCACAAGCTCCTTCCTAGCGTGTGACACCTTTGTTACACTCTCAGTAACATCACTGCCACCAGTATGGGCATAGCCATTACAAGAATCTTGAAATTTGCCCTCTAACCCCAAATCTAGTAGCATTCATACTTTTGTTTATGTCTTAGGGAATGCCATCATAGTTCATTTTGAAAAGATTTATATCTGACCATGTTTTCTAGATAAATTTACTCTGTTGTTTGTATAATCATGTTGGTTCGAGATTGCAGACTGATGGAAAAAAACTTCTCCCTTACATTCTTACTATATCAATTACATGATAGTTTTAATGAAATAGAAATTCAAATTGACAAACAAAGAAAATAATTTAGCAGGGGCAAGTGTATTCGGCGACACAACAGTCGTCACTTGTTTGTAAACATAACGGTCATTCAGTTGCGCGGGTTCAACTCCAACCATGGCAGCAATAGTATAGAGAGTTCCGCGAATGGGCTATCGCTGTGAGGACCTTGGCAAGTTCAATGAATGAATGCAGTTGTCTTAGCCCAGTTTCACTGAACATTTAAAGATGGTTGTCAGCTAGACAAATGTTCCCATCATCTTCCAGGTCGCCACAGAGGCAGAAGGCAAGACATGGAGTATTGAAACCTCCCCGGCTAGAAACTATTTACCATTCCAGCCCCGCCTGGGGTCATCCAGCTCACAGCCCCGTCTGTCCAGTATGGACCAAGGGGGATCCAGCAACATGACTAACAGTCACAGCAGTGGAGATCTGCAGAACAGTTACCATGATAACATCAACTTTCAAAGGTAAGGAGGGGTGGTGGGGTAGCCTTGTGGTTAAAGTGTTCCCTCGTCACGCCGAAGACCCGGGTTGGATTCCCGACATGGGTACAAAAAGTGTGAACCCATTTCTGCTGTCCCCCACCGTGATATTGCTGGAATATTGCTAAAAGCGGCATAAAACCATACTCACTCACTCACTCACTCACTCACACAAAGGTTAGGATTATAGGCAACGTGATACAGTTACCTCATCTATTGATACATGTTGCGATACTTGAGCGACGATACAATATGTTTCGTCAAAGTCAGTTTGTGCCATTTTGTGTGAAATTCTCCATGGTCCAATAGGACATGTTACAATCAAGCAATTGGTGTTTAACTTGCATGACCGGTAATTTAGGTTTGCTCTGATAGTTTAAAGCAATCAGATTCAGCATTATGTTTCCTCATGAATGGTAGGGTAATGCTAGGCCTAGTAGTTAGCAATCATTACAAAACATAGCAAATATAACCTTCTCGATACAGAATTGAAATGTGTATTGTATCCTCAGGTGTAAATTCATGATGCATCAGTGAATCATGACGACCCTTATAGAGGCCGACTATGATTGTCATAAGAGGCGACTGACGGGATTGGGTGGTCAGGCTCGCTGACTTGGTTGATGCATGTCATCGTTCCCAATTTTGTGGATCGATGCTCATGATATTAATCACTGGATTGTCTGGTCCAGACTCAATTATTTACAGACTGCTGTCATATTGCTGGAATATTGCTGAGTGCGGCGTTAAACAACAAACCAACCAACCAACCTTATAGAGGGAGTGTATTCAGAGAACACACAGGTTGGAAAAGGCTTTGGATTTTAGATTTGCCTTGGAAAACCTTTCAATGTCGCTTTTGCAATGAAAAGTACTTGAAAATGGATAATGTGCTTCGGAAAAGCCCTGAATTTTCAAAACCATTCTCCATTTCATGAAGATTACCTAATTATTGCCTGTTGTATGAATTAAAAATGACCTTTAACTACATCACTTGCACTTTTACACAACATTTAGCATGTATGCTGTGTGCGGAATTATGAAAGTCAAGGGGTCCTTGTCATGTAGCCCAAAATGTTAAAAGTTAGATTTAGGGGATCCCAAGATTCAAACACTATAAGAGGAAACATCAACAAACCTCAAGGACCCTAAGAACCCGCATAGCTGTATAAGGTTAAAATATCATTAATGGGCATAGATTTTTTAAAATTCTAAGCCTGCAACTGAAGATGGATCTTTCACCTCAGAAGAAAAATATAAATGCTCAGTCAGTTGAAGACATCTGATAAAAGTTGTTATCAATTTTCTAATGTAGGACGTCAGATCACACTCATGTTCTTCACTGGTATCTATGTTAACTTTTTACCAAGGCCTATTTTTGAAAATGTCTTGATGTTTTTTATTTTGTAGTGATGAAATGAGACAGCAGAAACAGAATTTCTTTGATCAAAGGATGGCTGAAAATGCTGCACGACCAGAGTGAGTACAGTCTACTGCTAAACAAACTGAAACCAAATCTGGGTCACCATTGCGTTTTGGGACAGTATGCATGCAATAAGCCTTGCTCCAAGGCTGTGCTGAAAGTTAAGTCCATGGGTGTATAGTAAATCTATCCTTATAATAGGCAAGTCTTAGATAAATAGACAGAACAAGGCTGCAAGTCTTTTATAAGGATAACTTGTTCTTAGAAGTAATGATTTAAACTAATGATTATTGCCTTAAAGACTAGTGCAAGTCTAACATGCATGGGAAGAATCCATTTCCTTTAGCAGGGGACTGCGGTTGAGTGTGACGCAGTGTATGTGGAGTTCATGCTCTACATGTACAGTAAACTACGTTATAACAAACACGCTTAAACAAACTGGTTTTTTTGTTCCAACCATTCACTGTATATCTTATATTAAATTGATGGATATAATGAACACTCTTATAACGAAATAATGGTTTATGGCTCCGTGGGTAGTCTGTCGATGACAATGCTTATGTTTCCAACGAACTGTTAATCATGGAGCTGCTCTTGAGTCAACAATCATCCTATCAGAACATCAACCTATGGTTATGTCAAACTTAAATTAATGGTCCCTTTGATTTCGTTATAACCGTAGTTTACTGTATATATGTCAAAGTGTCATGTCATCTCTACACATGCACTGTAGTTACTCACAAAAACATTGTGAAAGATTTAATGTCTTCGACTGCTTTGATATATACGTTTGTCACACAGAAATTCTTCTTCAGAAGTAATACCCAAAGGAAAACTTCCTGCTGTTGTTATTGACACATGTATTTTGTGGATCCTTAGGTTCAGTTGTCAGGTCAGGATTTGTCTTAAGTTTGTTTTGTACTATGTTACAGTTATTGAATGTCTGACCTTGATTAACATGGGACACCCTGAAGGTGGTAGTGAGTTTGCATACTTTGTACCATGCTTCGGACAACTCAGGGCATCTAATCATATCTTGTGATCTGACATTTGTGTTGTTCAGTATTGTTATTCATCAGCCATTTCATTTAGTATGATGTGTCCGGGATTTTTTCATTTATCATATTCCATATTATTAGCATCTTAGTGTATAAACGCTTATTGCAATTGTTTAATATTTACTCTTTCGTCAGATTTTAACAAGATATTTTCATGATTTCAGCAATTTTGATTTCATTATTGATATGATTCATATGAATCATTAGCCAATTAGCCAATTTGACCCTCACTCTTGTTCTGATGTGATATTTGCATGATTTGTGGTTATGTTATTTTACCTTGAGTTATGTTTTGTGAATGTCAAGCAGCGTTAGAAATTAGCACTAGTCCTGTAGTCCTTGCCAAACTGCCCATTAGTTAAGGTATCATAAGGACTAGTAGAAATTTGCCATTTTTAAGGGTTTTGCTATATGTTATCATTATAAGGACTAGTGGACTAAATATGTTAGTTTCTACCCCTGTCAAGTTATGTTGTAAACTATTAATTATTTCTGCAATATTTATTCCATTCCAAGGGACTGATGTCTCAAATTCCTTGTCCAATTTTTATTCTACCATGAATTTGACCAATCAGATTAAGTATTTTATATTCTGAGGTTTCAAATCATAATAATTACCTCTGTTTGAAACAGCTCATTTGACATCCTTGCACAGTGGAACTAACATTTATTGAAACCAAAAATTGTTTCTTTTCCTTTCAGAGGACTGAAGCCCAGTGAAGGAGGGAAATATGTAGGTTTTGGAAATAGCCCTATAGAACCGGAGAATGAAGCTCTCTTCGACATGTCGTCACTGTCATCAGTATGTAGATTTCCTTTGTCATGAGCAATGACATCATCTAAGCACTGGTAGTTTATGAACAATAATCAATAATAATGCTGTAGATTGAAGAAAACTTAAGTCAGAAAAAGGATTTTTAGATGGGACTTCAGAGAGAATTAGTTACTCAATGCATGGGTAACACTAGTCAGTGTATTCCTCGGTCAGTGAAAATGGTTCAAGTCTTGGAGGTGTAGGGCATTTCATAGCATTACATGCATGTGGCTCCAATTATATGTTGTTATTTGACAATTGTTCATTTCAACAGACAGGTTCCAATTTACAAATAAGCAAAATCATTCAATCTTAAGATGGGTTAGAGGTTGCAAAGCAATATTCAATAAAAAATAATTGTTTAACATGTTGAATGTGAAGTTCACACAATATACATATATCTCCTTGGACCAGAGGCTGGTCAGTTGACCACAGAACTGACTTATTTGATAGGCATGACATAGAAGTTGACCGATGACAAATTAGACCCAATTTATGGATAACAACTTCTTTAATTACTGTAAAGATGACGTTTCGGTGTAGATCCTGATACCGTTGTCAAGCAAGTCTTGTCTTATATAAGGATCTCTACCAAAATGTCGCCTTTACAGTAATTATAGAAGTTTTTATCCATAAATTGTGTCCTCTTTAGCAAAACTGACATTTAAATGTGTATGCAAGTATCACAAACATGTTCTTGACTGCTGCGCTACCTCTCACTTGTTTTAACTTCAGTTGAAATGTCACTGGTGTGAGTTTCATGTGCCAAGATTTTTATAAGTACAAATAGATCTTAAAATAGACTTAAGGCTGGACCCTATCAAAGAATATTGAATATGCAAAGAAAACTGAATTTTTTTAAATACAAAACGAAAATGATAACATGTGAGTAAAATACTTAAGTGATTTGTAAACCTCTACTGGAGCTCTGTACACTATATATGACATGTCATTACTTTCAGGGCTTATCATCTTGGGCCTCGAGTGCCACAAAATTTGCCTCAGTAGCTTCTGAAAAGGTAAGTCATTTTAAACTTTCATCCGGTCATCAAGCTTCCTAGACTGTTGTCTCGTGAGACACATAGACTAGTCAGGTTCCATTTAACAAAGCTATCCCTGCACTATGTGTGTCTGAAGTCCTTGTTAAGTATGGATTCTAAAGTTTGTAATGCTAAGATCACTTTGTGTAATGGAGTCCCACATCACAGTGTTGTCAGTGAAGTTGTCTGATCAGTGTCAGTGTGAGTTTCTTGTGTGTTTCATTTTGTTGGGTGTCAATATCTGATGTTAGTGTCAAATTGTTGTTTGTGCTTAATTAGTCCATGCATCTCTTTCAGGGACTGCTTTGCTTGTTTATTTTTAAATTATATCTTTGTATTTATCTCGCGTAAATCAGACGACAATTTAGTCAAATGTTTTGTCAGCCTGGTAATGCTGATCCCGATATTGCTGATCCCGGTAATGCTGATCCCGGTAATGCTGATCCCGGTAATGCTGATCCCGATATTGCTGATCCCGGTAATGCTGATCCCGGCAATGCTTATCCCAGTAATGCTGATCCCGGTAATGCTGATCCTGGTTATAAATGTCAAAAAGGGAGAAGGGAGATTTTATCTTTGATAAGAAAAAAGAAGTGAAGAAGAAAATATGTTGTGGCACCCAAACAAATATAAAGGTTTTTATTGATTCCAAATGATTCCTTGACTCCTTGCGGGGCGGTCGGGTAGCCTAGTGGTTAAAGCGTTCGCTCGTCACGCCGAAGACCCGGGTTCGATTCCCGACATGGGTACAATGTGTGAAGCCCATTTCTGGTGTCCCCCGCCGTGATATTGCTGGAATATTGCTAAAAGCGGCGTAAAGCCATACTCACTCACTCACTCACTCACTTGACTCCTTGGCTTTGTAAATATATGAGTTTCTGGATTGAGATAATTTCTGAAAAGAATATTGCCATGGCCATTACCCCAAGCACAATTACACCATGTATTCACTTCTCTCCATGGTTGTGCGTCATCATTTTCTATTATGACAGGGGCACGGCATCTTCCTTAGGCATGGGAGTTAACTGACTATAAAAGTCCAGTTTCAACGCTTGCCAAACTACGCTGGAATTATGGAGTTATATTTTGGCTGGACTAGCAAGTCTATGCATCAAAATCGCATAATGAAACCGACATCCGGTTCATTAACTGGTATGTAGATTTCAGTGGATTGCAGAATTTGCGAAGCATGAGTATCATGAACTTAGCGTCAACATATATTTTCCAAACCTTTTCTTGGTTTTAATCAAGGTGCTCACATGATTTGATACACTTTACGAAGTAAGACCCTTTGTATTACAGTATAAACCTTGATTATCAATCAGGCCGTCTTCACCGGGCGCCACCATTTTGTTTGAAGCAAAAGCAAGTGATATTTGAGGTAGATTCTGATCTAGATCTAGATGTCATCAAGTGAAATAGATCAGGTGTGAAAACTAATGCAATGCTCGGAAAACGTATCTATACACGAACATGTATTTAAAAAGTCCTGGATTGCTTTCAACAACTACTTGTAAACCACAAACACTTAGTTTTATAAGAACACATACAACTTTATGAACAAAAACTTCCTGTAATTGCATTCAGCTTGGAAAACTTTCATGTGAACAAAGCAAAATTCAGATTTCTCACTGTGTAGCATTTTCTCCTATTTTGAGAAATGCATTCGTCTACTTGTTGCATATGTTGGCTCACATTTTGAGAATTTACATGGGAAGAGTATCGTAGCAAGAATTAAGAAATAAAAATGGTAAATTCTGTAAAATTGTTAAATTCAAGAAAGTGTCAGTTTCACTTCAGCGTGACGCAATGACTAATGCAACATCATGTACAACAACAGGAGTATTCATTTGCATTTCCAACTGATTCTTATTCTGTTGGTTTCAATGCCAAACATAAATAAATAACAATACTCCGATTGTTTCTAATTTCTTACAGGACACATTTATGTACAAGTGATCCCTGATCAACAAAAGTCCCTCCTTTAAAAATCACACCAATTTGTAAAACTTTGTCATTGGTAGTGATATCATACGTCAACATGGGTCACATTATTGCACATACAGTGAACTATGGTTAGAACGAACTCAAAGGGACCACTAATTTCATTTGTTATAACCGTAGTTTGTTATAAGCATATATACAGCACATGCATGGACAGGATAAAAAAAAAGTTTGTTATATCTGTCAGGTATAAGCGTGTTCGTTATAAACCCTGTGTTTTTTGTAGTTAGTATTTTCTTGGAGGTGGAGGATGGGTGAATAAAAGTACACAAAGAATGAAGAGAAATAACCACATACATGTCCAACATTACAAGTATTTTTCTTAGTTTAGAAATATTCTTTTGAGTATTTGATGAAAAAGATCCTATCTCATTTTTATCTATTTCAAGCCATTATCTTTGTAGTAAGAAACACACATTTATGTTGTGTCCAAAATACTTCTGTTTTATCAATCAATACACGAGTGTCATCTTTCTCTGACATTGTCAAAGACATGAAACAAACCTTGACGTCAAACAAACAAGTATTACTTTCAAATTACTCGAACATATCAGGTGAAAGCAGGGATCTAATTCAAGTCTTAGATAGGGCCATCTATTAGTAATGGTAATTATATTAGTAAATAGTAATAGTATTACTGTTTATGTTTTATGCAGTCGCATTAAAATCAGATCTTAGGTATTGCTACTGCCAAACAAAGATCCGAGGACATCCCATTACAGGTCACGTTAGTACGACCTTTCATCCAACCAATCAGAGCGTCGCTAGCCAGATCAGGAAAGTGACAATCGGAATTTGTTTTCTAATCATGCAACCTCGAAAGGGTATTCCGAACGACAGTTACGGTCTTTAGGACTGAATCCATATTATCTAGATCAACTATTAGCCATTCCAAAATGTTCCTTTGTTCAGTTTTCAAATTTGTAATCAAGAATTTGTCAAAATATATTTCGAAGTTTGAAATTAGTGCCGTAAAGCATGAGAAAGCTGCCTTCTGATTGGCTTTTGTCAACTGCTTGTCAGTCATTCCATTAGTCGGTCAAAGTTCGCGAAAGGTTGGTTTGACGTTACCCATAATGGGATGTCCTCAGATCTTTGTTTAGCGGTGGCGAGAACTAAGATTTGATTTTATTTAGATTGTGTTTTATGAAGTATGATTTCATTTTATCTTATGTCATGATACCTAAATGTGTTAAGACAGTTTGGTTACTCGCGAACAATATACTACTCAAGTTGATATATCATTATGTCGTTCAGATGACAAAAGCACTATTTGTTTTTCAAACCAGTCTCATATTTGCAATTAAGTTTACACCTTTGGATAGGAAGTAAAATATTCTATAATTCTGTGTAATTTTATGGTTCTTGCACAGCATTCACTTTTCAAACTAATTTGGCATTCAGAGGGTTAAATCAAACTTACTTACTGGTTCTCATTTTATAGTGAAATTGCTGAACAGATGGAAACTGAAACTTGTACATACAGATGATGATGATGATAATGATGATGATGATGATGATAATGATATATTCTTCAGAAAAGAGTTCTCCAAACTTCATGCAGAAAGAGAGATAAAAATCTGTGCAAGAAAATGTATCTTCTGCAACATAGTTACACAATAATAAACTTTGTAGATCATTTTGTTAATTTTGTTCATTCCAAATCAGTTTATGGCAAAACATGAAACAATTCTTATGTGTGTAGCTCCACACTTTCACTTATTTTCACTTATTTTTTAATTATGACCAAAGTGTTCGCTTGTCATGTCGAAGACCCGGGTTCAATTCCTGACATGGGTACAATGTGTGAAGCCCAATTTCTGGTGTCCCCCACCGTGGTTTTGCCGGAATATTGCTAAAAGTGGCATAAAGTCTCACTCACTCACTCACTCACTCACTCACTCACTCACTCACTCACTCACTCACTCACTCACGCACGCACGCACGCACGCACGCACCCACCCACCCACCCACCCACCCACCCACTCACTCACTCACTCACTCACTCACTCACCCACCCACCCACGAGTTATCATTATTTAAATACGGGTAAATATTTTTAAAGTATGTACTTTTAACTAACATCCTTTCAAGAGGATGTACATAATGTTGATATCTAATAAAAAAAATATACGACTTGTGGTTTATCTTACAATAAAACACTGCAGGGAGAATATACGATGAGGGGAGTTGTTTATTTCTTAAATATACAAGCAGTTGACAACACAGACCTGAAGTCATGGGAGAACCAAATGTAGGCTGACTCAAAGATATGGTCTTAACCTTTTAAAAAATATCTGAATTTAAAGGTTACCGGTATTACAATGACTTTCTATCTCTTTTCTGGAGCATCAGATATTATCGAAAAAAGATCCAACACATCTAAACTTCTTTTGAATGTCACTATTATCGTGTAGTTACAATATGTGACTGATCAATATCATGGAATCTTGCCAAGGTGGTACCTGATAATAACTGAAAAATGATGTAAATTTAAAAAATGGATGTGAAATTACTTTTGAATGTTTTGATAAGATAGGAAAGTTTCTAAAAATCTTTTTCTAATCTTGAAGGTAAAAGATGGTAGAGAATAAACTATAAAAAATGGATAAGGAGAAAGCCCAGTTACGTGTGAACTGGTGGCTGAACCCTTTCTTATACATATGTTTTGAATGAGCCGGCTAGGTATTCTTTACACAGCAGCTGTGTAAGATGTATATAGGTAATTAGTTCACAACCAAGCTGGGCATTGGACTGCCAGAAAAGTAAAGACCCTGACAGTATCTTGTCAGACCAAAACATGTTTCTTTAGCCTGAAGTAAAGATTGGGGTTCTTTGACTTGTTGTCTAATACCTTCTACCACAACCTTGCACATCTATTTAGAGGATTTGTATAGTCTGATCGTCTGAACTGATGCATTGTTGTCCATGCTGTGGTTCTGTGGACTGCAATATGTACAGTTACGATGCTAATT